GTTTCCTCAAGACATGGCGATCCTTCGCACCGCAGACGGCAGAGGTGTGCCTCTCCGATGATGCTGGGAGGTATCTCTGCGAGTTTATCTTCTATACGAGCTTGGCGCAGGCATATATGGAGCGGAGGAATCGGAGTGTTGTGTTTCTGCATGTGCCTGGGCGGACGGATGAGGCGGGTATTGAGATTGGGAGGGATGTTGCGGTGGCATTGGTGAAGTGTTTGGTTGCTTGTTGGGTTGATTGAAGGGGGGCTGTGGTTGAGGCGCGGGGAATGAAAGAATTGAGGGGGTTTGGCATTTTAATAACCCCCCTGGTTTTGCTTGGCGTGGACGCGGGGTGGTCTAGCATATGTATGCGTGGGATGAAGACATGATTTTATGGCACTTGCCCGTTTACGATATATACGAATTATGTATTACTTATCGGAGGTTTCAGGGGGTGGTTAGGTGGAATATTTAAGCCCTAGATGTCTAGGTACGGTGATAGAATCGTGAATGATGACGTGGGTGAACTGAGGGTTGATGGACTTAGTGAAGGATCCAGAGCCTTTTTGGCCCTTTTTATCTCTCTTCTTTTTCTGTCAAAGCTTCTCTTCATCTGTCTTTAGTTTTAACTACTTGTCGATTGATTTTCTTATTTCGGGGTTTGACCTTATTTGCGGCATATATGTTAACGACGGCTCTGAATTATGCACATTTGTAGGGACTCACTCTCACCCTCGTCCATTTCATTATTTTATGGAGTACACATATGCATTCTTGACTCTATGTAATATATAGCTCTGGCGTAAATATGAAGTTCACTCTCATCTCATAAGGTCCTTCTAACTGGACGTCACTGTAGCGTCAGCACCGTTATAATTTTCGATAAAGGCTTCTGGCTACCTGAGTAAAAAAGACAGATAATTATGCATCAGCCGCGTTGCCTGCCTCACCATCAAAAATTCCGCCTCCAGGAAATGCAGAGAAACCTAGTCCTCACTAATCATTCATTCTCACCGGAGCTCTGGCTGGGCGGTGACAGGGCTGGCTTGGCCATATAAAAGAAAAGAAAAAAAAAAAAAAAAAAAAAAAAAAAAAAAAAGAGAAAGAGAAAAAGTAAAAGAAAAGAAAAGGAGAGAGAGAGCAGAGCAAAAGAACATTCAAAGCTTAATCCTTGCGGCCTTGAAAACACAGCTCAATAAAGTCTTTGCTAGTGACCGCTTTGGGCTGTGTCTGACCCGCTCGACGAGAAAATCGAGAAAACTGGGCCAGGGAAACCCGTTGTTCAGCCGGTGGTCATAGGCAGACCGTTCCCGTGCAATGACCCGATCCCCGATCCAGCCAGGATTTGGGGGAGACAGACTTGCGCAGCTGCTTGAGACAGGACTTGAAATGGCCTGAGGGTCTCATTTCACGCAACTCTCTCATAACTACTGGGCCCTACTAGTTCCTACTAGTTCCCGGTGCCCGGCTCATCAAAATCCAATAGCCATCATCAAACGGGCAGAGCAGCTAGACGACGCCATTAGGATTTGATAAATGCCTCTTGCTGGAGAGAGGAGTAGAGCTGGTTTTGGTCGCGAGAAAGTGGAAAGGGATCATCTGGAGCCTGTACGTGGTGGGATGGAGTTGAACGTGGTTAGAGAGTAAGTAACTAACTAACTCGTGATGCTGGGTTGAAAAATTTGCCATTCCTTAATTATTGAACTACAGCTCTTTTGACACTTGGTTTGTTCATTTTGCTGGACGCACAAACTCTGTCTATAAAAGGGGTGTATATTATTCCACTGTATCTTCTCTTTTCATGGGTTTTAGTGGATTAGCTCAATTGTCTTGTGGGCGTGTAATAATTGTGGAGTTTGATATCTGAATCTGTCTGAGTACGAAAGTAACGAAACCCACGCGGCCCACACCAACCATGTCAACCCCAGCTTTTGCATGGCTTGGCTTCTGACGAGAACCTTTTTAACTCCTCCACCCCAATCAAGCAGTTTGTTGTTCTGGTTTTGGCCACTTCGAAATACTTGCTGTTGAACAACTCCCAGACGCAATCAGGCGCAATGAAACCAGATCTGAATGGTCTTCGGTGACGAGACAAATCCGAGCTTCCAGAGTGTTGTTGTTCTCTGGCGTTGTTTCGTGCAAGTTACCATATATCCGAGGTCTTCGGGATTTGGTGGATGTAATCTCCTCCGGCTGCCAACAAAACCTCCACAACTCGTGAATAAATGGCGGGTAAAATAAATCAATCAATCAATAAATCAATAAAATAAAATAAATAAGAGAAAGCTCTTGCTTTGGGCGTTCTTGTCCCCGTCATTCAAAAATGAGAAACCCTCAAAATAGCAATCAATCTACGACAAGGAACTTTATCCGTTACCAAGATGTCCAGACCAACGGTTTTGTGTGCTACGGAGGTACTACAACATCGGAATTTGAATAGGCTTCCGGCAGTGGCTTAAAGCCATGGTGGGTTTGGCTTTCTCTGCTGTGGGCCGTTGGGCGCTGCTCCTACGCTGCTCAGCCTGGCAATTTTAGAGCTCTTCTTTACTTTAGTTAAGCTTTCGTTAGCCCTCTGGCTAGCAAACGCCCGGAAGCTTAGCACCTAGGTGGGAAGCGATGCGTAATTTTGAGCGACCTTCCCCGGGGGGGCCGGGGCCCCCGGGAGGGGGGGGGGGGGGGGGGTGGGCTGCGGTAAGTAAGTAAGGTTCTCCCTTGGGGAGGGCAGAATTAAAAAAGATTGTGGAAGTGTGGGGGAGGAGGCAGCATGTGTTTTGAGAGTCGGGGAAAGAAAAAACGTTTCGAAATACTCCGTATCAAAGCGGTTTTGGAATATGTCATTTGTTTCCAAAAACTGACTTTTTTTTTTTAGTGTTTCTTTGTGTTGCTTTTTATAATGATATCATTGCACACCATGATTCGGCTCAACGCCTCCCTCGACTGCTACGATGATGTTCCCCACATTATTTATCACTGCCGAATAACCCGTGGATCTGCACTCTTTTGGTTGACTAGTCTCTTTCTTTCCCCGGTTGCAGCTCTTAGTCAACTCCCAAGTGGAATTCGCAGCAATACATACACATTCTGGGGGGCCCAGCCGGAAGGATGGCTGCTCGCGAAATTGCCTTTTTAAACTCTCCCGTGGAGGCGAGCACATTTCACAATACAGACTTCAGTCCGTTGGCGCGTTGACCAGATAGTTCTCCTTCTTAAACCGCTTGCAAGTTTTTCTACACACATAGCACGGCTTCATGATTTCTGGTCCCGCGAAAGAGGCGATCCTTGCATCTGATTATCTTGTTTCGAACTCCTTAATAACCCAGTCAAATCCCCACTTTTCATAAAACTCCCCCATCCTTCCAATCCCTCTATCCCGCTCCGTGTTGTCAACCTCTGTTCTGATCTCCCCTTTCTGCCTTGTCTCTCCTTCCTTCGTTCTGCAAAGATTGTTAGGGTTCGAATATCCACACATATCCACTACCCATGCACTGAATTTGTACCTCTCCAGTCTTCAGGTTGCACTAAAAGGAAGCATCTCGTCCAATATGGGCGAACAAGAACGAATTCACATTGGAGATGAGGGTAAGGGCGCTCCCTCAGCTCCCGAGAAGGGAGATATCAATCGAGATGCCATCCGCGCTCTGGTCGAAGCCGAGTTGCTGGACGAGCGGTATGCTAGGACCCAGCGCGGCCTTAAGTCAAGACATGTACAGATGATGGCCCTTGGAGGTACAATTGGCACAGGTCTCTTCGTTGGAAGTGGTCTTGCACTCTACACGGGCGGGCCTGCTTTTTTGCTTTTCGCGTACATCTTCATGGGTCTTCTGGTCTTCGGCGTGGTCACGGCGGTTTCTGAAGTGGCTACGTACCTCCCCGTTCACGGTGGTTCTATGAGCTATTATGCATACCGGTATTGTTCCCGAAGCCTGGGTTTCGCGCTTGGATATCTCTACTGGTACTCTATGGGTATTTTGGTGCCCAACGAAATTACAGCGGCTTCAATGGTCATTGAATACTGGCACCCGGACGTCCACGTCGCGGTCTGGATCACGGTCCTCATGATTGTGATCATTGCCCTCAACTCCCTGCCTGTCCGCTGGTATGGAGAGTCGGAGTTCTGGTTCGCTGGACTCAAGGTCATCGCTTTGCTCGGCCTGCTTATGCTATCCTTCATTCTCTTCTTGGGAGGCGGGCCGCGGCGACAGCGCTTGGGATTCCACTATTGGAAGGATCCAGGGGCAGCCAAAGAACACATCCTCACTGGAGACGCTGGCCGCTTTGTCGCGCTTCTTCAAACTGTCGTGCTAGGTGCCTTCGCATTCCTCTTCGCCCCCGAGTTGGTTGTCACCACCGCAGGAGAGATGGAGTCCCCCCGTCGCAACATCCCTCAAGCATCGCGCCGTTTCTTCTACCGTCTCCTCTTCTTCTACGTCTTTGGCGCCCTCGCCATCGGCGTCATCTGCCCCTCTAACCTCAAAGATCTCAAGGATGGTGGATACGGTGCGGCCTCTTCACCATTTGTTCTGGGCATTAAACATGCCGGAATCCCTGTGCTGGACTCGATAATCAACGCGGCCATTCTCCTCTCCGCCTGGAGTTCCGGAAATTCTTACCTCTACATGTCCTCTCGATCGCTTTACTCCCTCGCTGTAGCAGGTAATGCGCCCAGTATTTTCAAGACCTGCAACCGCTATGGTCTCCCCTACGTAGCGCTGATAGCCAGCTCCCTCTTTTCACTTCTCTCCTATCTCACTGTCACTAACAACAGCTCAACCGTCTTCCTGTGGCTGGTCAGCTTGACGAATACTTCCGGATTTATCAGTTGGACGTGTTGCTGCATCATATACTTCCGCTTCCGTAAGGCAATAGATACTCAAGGTGTCGAACGGCCGTACAAGTCCGTCATGCAGCCCTGGGGTGCCCGGGCGGGCATCGTCGGATTCCCATTTCTCGTTCTGCTCAATGGATTTTCGAACTTCTTCCCTTCCAACTGGACAGTTGCCGGGTTTTGCACGTCTTACATCGGCCTGCCGGTGTTTTTGGTCATATACTTGGTCCACCGTTTCTGCAGCAGAAATGAACCCTGGTTCTATTCGCCCTACGATGTCGATTTGCAAACAGGCCTTGAGGAGACTAGTGAAGCTGAGAGTCCTCCGAAAATTCGAAAAGGCTGGATTAGGTATGTTACTGTTATGTGGGAGTAGAGCGGTGATGACATGTAGTCCGTAATAATGATGGTAGGAGAGAATGACTGGGTTTGGATTCGACTGGTTTCCTTTCTAGCGTCATGTTATCTCCCTTTTAGCCCGTCATGATGAATAAGGTGCACATACCTTCTCCCATTTAACCATGTCAATATGCATTTCTCAATATATTCCATGTTGGACTAGCGGTTGTCTCGTTCTGCGCATCTTACATGCTCATATTGTAATTTCGACTGGCCATCGCCAGTGTACATGAGTTCTAATCAGTCTCGAAGGATACGTGAATAAACTAATAATGGTGTTTAAACCGCTTGTTACCCATTTACTAAGTTATCAATGTGCAACGTAAGGATCCGTCACCCCTACTAAAGTTTAAGCCAATTAGAACCGCATTGGTTGGCCGGACACTTCAATCATCCGGTGATGCTGCATAGACCCACTAATCACACAACAAGCATAATGTTCCCACTGGACTGGGAGCAAGTAGATAACAGTGTCAAAACTCATAGTACCTTGACTTTTCGACGAATCTCGCTTTGACGATGTACTATGACAGACTCCATGCTATTAGAACTCGACAAATTAAGAGCCCCCGCCTTACAAGCGTCTTAAACTCCAGTCTAGTGCAATCCATCCAGACCGTTCAAAAATATTATATAGATACGGTAATGTCCACAGTACATGATCCCTTCGTAGCCCTCCTTCGCATTCTCCGTAATACAGCATCTCCTACAAATGAACGAATACCATTAACTAAACAACCACTTCTAAATCGCCCACTTAAAAAGCAGACCGCATTCGACAAGAGTACGTCTTCAAAACACCGTATGCGCAGTTACCGGTGCAAATCGTGGCCTGGCCCTAGGTTTAGCGAAACCTAGCAAATTCGTCCCCCTGCTCTTGTTTCCAGCCTCAAGCGTTCAGGTCTGCAGACACTCACTCCTTTGCCGAAAAGTGTCCAGAGTGTTAAGTAGGGGAAAATGAACGAAATTTGAGACATCGTATTTCTGTCGGACGTGGATCACCTTCGTGCGAGAATCGGACCTCGGCCAATTAACAAAATATACCCACCAAAAATCACGTCAAAACTCCCACTCCTCCTTATATTCCTTGTTTTTGCGAATTTCGGAACCAGATTGCTCTAAAACACGCCACCAAACTGAGATTTGTATGTAAATTAGCAGTGGAAAGACATACAAGAACGTGGTGTCAGAAAAGGGGCAATTTGTTTTTATAAATAGCTGCCAAAACCAACAAGAGAACTAACTGCAGGACAAACACTTACTGGTTGGTTAGTTAGTTACCATCATAGATTACTAAGCCATTGAGATTCTATACTCTGCCCGTTTGATAATTTTACTATGACAGCCTGGGCCTTTGGGCTTGGTGATATGAATGGTGCACAGCTTGAGTAGTGTGCCGCCATGATCAAGTTGACATAGGAGAGTGAAGTGTTGTTATCACATGTCAACTCTTCAATATCTGTAAGATGGGAGGGACTGTAACTACTACCAGGAGCTCCTGACGCACTATCATAGCAAGCCTGGTGTGTGGCCACGGCCAGTGATACGCCGGGCCCTTTTGTATCATAAAAAGAAGTTTGGTGCCTCTGGAAGCTCAATCCTGCGTTAATGAAACAATATGGGCAGCTAAGTTCTTCACTGTTTTGACGGTCAAGCTGTTCAGGGCCATAGAAATAATTCTGGTTTAGCTGGCATTAGTGTGCCATCAGTCCAGGGAGCAAGATTTCTGAATGGGTAATCCCCTCTGACACATTTAGAATAAAACAAATGGAATCATTGAATTGTAACTTGGTTTCTCTTTGGATGCATATGCATCCGCTTCTCTGAAGTCCTCAAAGCAGCCTTCAGAAAACTTTGAGGGAGAAACTGAAGCTCGCAGCTCTGCTAATCTTCAGTGATCTCAGTCCAGTTATCTCTTTTGGTGGTTTCTGGCCATCTGGAGGATACTAAACTCCGGCAGACGACTCCGTGGTCAATTAGATTCTCCTGAAACTTCCGACTACAGGCTGAGGTGCTTGAAATTTTTGTGATAGTCGTTGGATAAGGGGTCTAGCGCAACCTGCAGCTGTCCGGATAATAACTTTTCCGGAAATTGGAAACTGTCGATGAGTCTCTGTGGCGCAATCGGTTAGCGCGTTCGACTGTTAATCGAGAGGTTGGAAGTTCGAGCCTTCCCAGGGACGATATGAATTAGTATAATTTTTCTTTTTCTTCCTTCACCATAATTCTTTATTTGGTTAAGGGTTTTGCGCTCAACAGATTGCATGTACAAAGTCCACCAAGGGTAGCAGTAATTGCCCGTGACTCTCTGGTATGCACATACTGACAGATCTATTGAGCAGCTTACATAGTCATCATAAGTGATGCTTTTTATATACCATTGAATTGGACATGAACAGTTAGTTATATTTGCGTCTGTCGACTCACAGCCCAAAAGGTGACGCTTTGTTTCACATCCAGAATATACAGCCAAATTTGCACTCCACGAGGGAGTTCGACGAGAAAAGTAGCCAAACAGGATAATTCTTTTATTCCCTTGGTATGTTTTGAACTCAATCTTAAGGGTTTCCCTTGTTGAGCCCCGTTTGCCTCTACAAACCCCGGCAAAATTTTGAAACCTATGAAAGTCGCATCCCTTTGAATATGAGTAACCCAAGAAAATAGGGAAAACAACAAGAGATCCTTAGCGACGGCCTCCTAGCCGCCGTTCGACCTCCTGACACACCGCATTCGTCACTTCAATCGTTGTGCTCCTACCGCCCAAGTCAACTGTTACTATCCCTTGAGCGCAGACGCATTCCTCACGTTCTAGCAGCTTAGATGAGGCTCTTTTCTCTCCCTGCCTCGAAAGCATTTCAGTTGCAGTCCAAAATGTAGCAAGGAGCTGGATATGTAAACAATGCTCCATGAATGGAATGCCAACCGACGTTCCGCAGATCATCCATCACTTCCTCTCCAACCCCTCCGGCCCCCCCCCCCCCCCCTTTGTTCCGTTTTTGAGCCGGACCTCCGTCAGAAAACAACAAATGATCCACTCTGGTCTACTCAATTGGTTTACCCAATATTTTACACAGAATCCGAGACTTGGAATTCTGATGACGTGAACGGATGATAGTTATCATGAGGATGATATTCCTAAACCTGAATCCGCACACCATCGCTAAATACGTAGAGTGCATCCTCGCAGCCAACACAGTCCGGCTGAAGCGACGGTGAGTGCTTTGCATAGTTAAATAGTTAAATGCACCGATGGACGGGCTAGACACTGGGAGCTGGAAGGGGCTTACTGGCCTTTATGTGAAACTGATATCATATCGCCCATGGCAATGCTGGCGTCACCACTGGTATATCCATATATGTATGTACTTAACATACAAAGATTATCACATCCATCTGCTGGTATTACGGACGATATGGTGTTGCGAAGAGTGCCATGAGTCCACAGACAATCAGCAGGACCGATGAGACCCCTTGTCGTCCGTTTTCTCTTCAAGCGAAATCGAGTCCACATGTATTGGCGTGTGCTACGTATATGGATTATTTTGCCATTGGTGAACGGTGGATGGTTGCTTATTTCCTTGATGATGATCAGTGTTGTATTACTGATCCATGGATCCTAACGCTAGAACTGAAGTAGCAAAAGTTTTGGAAGTCGAAATCGTTTGTAGTTGGTTGAAAATTACCGAATTATTTATGGATTGGGCGTATGATCTTTCCGATTGATAGTCTCCGGTTTCCAATTTTTCATGAGCTCTGCGTTCTAGTTTATTGTCATCTTCTGGGATGTTCCTCAGCTAAATATAAATGACCTGCAAGGCGAAATTTTATTAACATAGAAAATAACCCGACATCTTTCTTCACAACCTCCACTGTAACTAAGTAGTTAAATTCACTGTCGACTTCCACGGCCAATGAACCAGAAGGAGTCCTTTTGGAAGAGCAAGGCTTGGACATCTCGTGAAAAATAATGCTGGTGACGGATACAGTCAGCAACCGCAATCACAACAGCCAGATCCTCACTACCAACTCTTCTACCACACCCAACAACCGCAGTGGTAGCACTGAGGGCGGCTATCTAACGACTCTGCCTCCTGAGATCCTCTTTGAGATTCTCCAATATGTCGGTGTCGATGAGCTCAGGGCTGCCAACCTAGGCGGGTTGTTTATATGCAAGTACTGGTACAGCATCGCCTCAATAGTTCTGCTAGAAAATATAAAACTGTCCGCCACCGGCTTGAAGAGATTCCCCGCACTGCAGCACTCACTGGTTACGCAAGAGCAATCTCAACCGCAACCTCACCAAGGGAGTACACGCACATGCACATGTACCCATCTAACAACAGCAAGATCGGGATCTATACATGGCTGCACTACCCTCACGGCATCGCGGATAAAATCCCTCTCCGTCCAACTGGCGGGTTACTCGAACTGGCCAGCAGTGCTCGATCCCACGACACACCAAGGAATCCCGGAACGGTTCACAATCCTTGCCCTGTGGGCCGAGGAGACAAGGGCGGATATAATGCGCCTTGCTCAGTGGCTCGGCACGCTGCAGACACTGACTCGATTCCGTTTCCAGGCAATGGGCGAGTTGGACAGGCGTGGTCGCATGCAGGCGCATATGTTCGAACAGATGAAGAATTACTTGCACGAGGACGCCGTAGGGCGTCTGTGTAAAAGTATTCCAACGCAGCGCTTGACGGTTCTGGAGCTGGATACGTGCGGATCGGCCTTTTTAAAGGCGGATGTGGATATGGATGTGGATAGCAGAGAGGGCTTGGCGAAGGAGCATATATGTTCGCTGATCGGGATGTACGTTCCGGTCCTGCGACGGTTGAGGGTGAGGATGCATCGCATTTGCCCGGAGATTTTTGGCAGTTGCAGAGTTAGTAATGCCCGACATACGACAGCGCGGAAGGAGTTTGTATTTCATTTGAGTTTGTATGATCCATTGAAGAGGGTAACTGGTGCCAAATCTGCGATGCCGTGTACGGCAGCAGGACCGTGTGGGAGGGAAGTTCTGATAAATAAGATGATTGAGGGGGCAAAAGTGGCAGTGAAGCAGATGCCAAATTTGAAGGTTTCGGTTTTATATCATGTTTACCCGTTTGATCTTGTGGCGATGGATTGTCGGACGGGGGAGACGAAGCTGGTTGACAGCCAGATTGACTGGCTGGACAATGAAGATGTTGTTTTCGAACATGGGATGCACAGTTCGGCTAATTCGGGGAACTTCGTCAGCGTGTGCGCATTTTGATCTGCAGCCTATTTAGGATATGAGAGCTTCGCTGGATCAAGATGAGGAATGTGTAAGGCAATTTCCACTGTGATGTAGCGACACGACATCGAGCGGTTAGCCGCTTGCCATATCCCGCGTCGTCGCACTTGAGAATAAAACGAGAGGGAATGACGAGCTGCAGCAAAAACCTAGGGAATATATTTAAATAGTTTCTAGGTCAAGACCATTTCAGACAACCTTAATTCTTAAAACAGTAGTTAACTTCTCTGCTGAATTAACGCTTCTTCGAACAATAATATCAACAAGACCCCGTGTAACTGCAGGCACAAATGGTTTGCATCCCCAAAGGCAAGTTTTTGACGCCAGCTCAGGATATCTTGAGAATGAATTTTCACTGCGACCTTGGAATGATGCCAAGGTGGATGCCTCTGCAGCAAACTAACTGCCAGTCCTTGGTGTTTTCATCGCCCTTGGTCTTCCAAGGGAACCAATCAAATACGTTATTCAACTATCACAATGTAAATGGGGCCACAATAAGGGCTTGGAGTAGAGGAGAAAGTAGGGAGATATGAATACATTAGATAGATAACTATTTCCCCCAAGGTTATACGGCAAACCTAATTATTACTGATTCAATTTTTGTTAGTTATCCTTTCTTGAAACACGGGACCGCTTCGAAAAGATATAGTCTGATAAAAGAATAAAAACCAAAAAAAGAAAAAAATGTCACACCAGCATTAACGGAACTGTAGCACAAAAATGCACCTCACAGCAGCCGTGCAGTAATTTTATTTAATCCATGAACTCAAGTGTACTGAAACCAACTGTGCCATCCAGAAAAACATCAAGGAAGAAGAAAGTGGAGTTTCCTGGGGCTTAATTATGGAGTATTTTGTCGATCTTGTGATGTGTCAAAATATGACATTCGCCAATGGACTCCCAGTTCACCATGACAACCAAGCTCCGAATCCCGGAATAGACGCTTCAGATTCCCCAACAAACCGAACTGTTGAGTTAGAGGGAAATATCAACTGCATGACAGAACATAAAACAAAAAGGTTATAAAAAAAAGGTTTAATAAAGGAACTTCGATCGATTGTTTCTCACGAAGTTGGACCCAGTCACAATCCTTAATTACCTGTCAATATATATAACAGGGCTGATAGCTTTTGCTCACATTTAAGTTTTCTCACCATTTGCTCTCCCGCTTCTGTTCGGGCGGTTCCACACTTGCGCGTTTCAACAGAATATTGGTCTACGGTCCAACCAAGCAAAATCCATGGATGTGTTCCCGAGAAAACAAATGGTTATGCAGTCAATCCAATTACAATTGTTCCCATGGGAGAATGGATGGAAAATGGTTTTTTGACCGGGTCAACTGTGTAAGGTCGAAGCTATCCATCAAATTCAGATCACGTGATCACGTGGATAGATTCGCTTTGTTTACGGCTTGGCGTGACGCGGTATTTCAGACTTGAAGGATCACGATTTAATACCGAATCACAGAGTTCCCGCGCCACGCATGAATCAGGCTATCAGACCGAGACAGTTCCTTGGAAAGATTCATGTGAAATGTTCACATTTCTTGCGCAAGCGTCACATCATAACGTCATTGCCATGAAGTCAATTAATGCGGGACGCCAAGCCAGGAATCTCCAGAGATCATGAGATCATGAGATCAGCCAGACAGACCGTGACACATCGACGATGTGTTTTTTTCGCTTTTAGGCTATTTTAGGGGTGTGATTCCCTTGCTGGCGGTTGCGCTGGTGCGACATGGTAGCTTCCGAGCCACTGACCAAGGAGGTTTGGGAGGAAGAAGAGCTGGAGCTGAACCCCGGACGGTCCCATTGTGCTGACCTGCTGTGCTGGGTTGACCCGAGGTTCCTGCATGTCTGGATACTGGGTGGCTGGGATTCGCGGTGTGTGATCCTGTGCTATCTTCAGTTTGGTTGTTTGTTTGGATTATGAATCTGCGATGTTGTAATATATTAGTTGCCAAAGGAAAACTGTTCACTAAATCCTTGTGCTTTTTGTAAATATTTCCTTTCTCTTTTGGGAGTTTTGGAGGGGGGGTGTTTGGGATGGCTTTGAAGAATTCCATTCGGTAGCAAAATCTCATGAAATCAACAAAATCACTTTGACCCCGCTGTTGCATTATTTCAAGAATACTTGCAGAGAAGTTGAACATGGTTTATAGGTGGGCCCACTTTTCTAAAACAAATAAGCGCAGTCGACACAACTTTACACATATAGTTACCACATATATGTTAATTACTCATACATCTCTATTCGCCCTCCCCGTCCTCAACACCAGTGAGGGATAGATTAGAATCAGGATTAGGGATTAGAATTAGATTTAGTTGAGAATAAAAAAATCCGAGATATGTGATAAAATCACTATCATCAAAAAGCATATAAAGATGTGTGTGAGATATGAGAGGTATGACTAGTGTGTCTGAACGTTCAAAGAGGTTTAACTTCAGTTTATTTGTATGTGATTTATAAGTTGGGCCCCACTTTTTCTTTTACAACCACCTCTGTAAACATGTTGACCACAGCACCCTCTCTTTAAAACTACACACACTAGTCATACCCCACCATATTACTAATACATATCTCTTCAATCTCACCGCCCTCAACACCAAGGTTAGGGGTAGGTTAGGATTAGGGGTTCAGTAAGAGCTAGGACCTGAAGAAATATGCTAAAATCACTACCGTTAAGAGCATATAGAGAGGGGTGTGAGAGGGTGTGTGTGTGTGTGAGAAATGACCTAATTTAGTGTAGGTAGTTTTAATGGGGAGTCGTTTGTCTTGAATGCTTAAACTACACTTAAGGTTTTTCCAAGGCTGCACGAGTTGGACGTGGGTTTAAAAAAGTTGAACTGGTTTTTAAAAATCTCAACCCGGAAAAACCGCCGTCGGCGTGGGTTTATGACATAAATCATTGACACCCGCGCTTTAACACTACATACCGAGCCGTACCTCACATCCCCCTCACATCTCGAAATGATCTTTTGACGGTAGTGATTTTAGCATATTTCTCAGGTCCTAACTCTTACTTAATCCTAATCCTAACCTACCCCTCACTGTGTTGAGGGTGGGGGGGGTTGAATAGAGATGATGTATGAGTGTTCAGCATGTGTGGTTGTAAGTTATGTACAAAAATTATGTAGACTTGTGTTTATTTAGGTGAGGCGAGCCGAGTTGATCATGTTTTAAAAAAGTGGGCCAACTTACAAACCACGTTCTACCTGTAACCCCGGTTTTTATAGCCGAGTTTTAAAACCATATACAACTTTTTTAAAACCACGCCCAACTGTCTGACCAACTATTCTTGATTGAGCACAAGCCGGGTGCAGGACGGAAATGTCACCATCTCCTTTAAACGCTGGTAGGATCTCAGTGAGGTATTTGCTGAGCGCTCCAGCGGCTCGTCTGACAACTTGGTTGCCCGGCTCTCCCTCCCTGCTAATAATCCTCATGTATTTTCCGTTCCTCCTGAAATAATTGGCTGCCTCCTTGACGAGGGGTAGCACTCAAGGTCCCGAAGATACGCTGCAGTGTAGCCAAATCGTCCGGAGCGCTTATGGGCGTAAATTGCATGCTTTGGACTGCCAGAAAGGAAAACTATTTTTGGCAAGGCCCGGAGCTAGATCCTGTCCGGGACAAGGCTTGCAACCATTGATTGATAGGCGATTGCTTGGATTAAATAAACAGAGCCAGAGTGACAGGGAAGGGGGCCGTTTTTCACAACTTTCCCTAACAAGCTAACTACCCCCTTGCTCTTTGTTCCATTTCCTCCTGCTTTCGGACCAATAAATACACGAGCAGCGGCTGCTTGGGGCCGTTGCATGTCTGAAAGAGAACAAAAAAAAAAAAATTCGTTGTTAAACCAAGGCAGACAAATGGTGGGAAACTTGATTTTGCGCCTTTTTTTCAAGGTGGTAATTCTGGAGATAAATATGTCTGGTCAATTGACTCGGGATAGAAGAATGTCGTAGTTTATTTATTTTTATTTCTAATTATTATATTATTTTAAACTCCTTCATAAACAAAAAGAGACTTGCTGCTTGGAGTGACCCTATCCATAAGTATTTTTTGTCTCAATTGAGCATTAAAGAAAGCTGATGATCAGCGATGAGATCTATATTTGTAGGTGACACGCAGTTTGAGCGGACAAGGCCCACCCACAATCAAGCTGCCATGATCCGGATATCGTTGCTTTACAGCTTCATGGGACGGGCTCGTCACGACTTGCATGACGGTTTCTCTCCACTTTATATTTGAGCTCAATCGGGAGGTATTCTAGTTGCCTAACCAGCATGTCCAAAACACCAATGGTCCTATTCTTCTGATTATCCTGGCTTCTCCACAATGTGATGCTGAAACTGAGATTCTTCCCGTATTTTGAAGCATATTTTGAAGCAACCGTGGGTTTTCTTTGAGCCTTTTCCTGCCCTGTTGGCTCCCCCGATCGTAGCTAAAAATAAGTTGCAGCAGATCAGCTTCTTCCCAATTTGACTTCATAAACGAAGATCGAGAAGATTCGCTCGGTTACGGCAGGCCTACTTGAATTTCTAGGAGTTTATCTGTGTTTGTAGTTACATCTGTGTTGTCCCTTGAAACCAAAAAAGTTTCTTCCTCATAGTTGCACGCTATGGACATTGCTTCAGCAACCAGATCGTGAGGCATCCGCTAGAGAGGTTCGAGTAAGGGCTATGCAGTAGTTTATTGGCTTGGGCGGCAAGGACATCAAGTCCTTCTGACCAGTAACAGCAGCAGTCTTGGGGAATATCAGTCGCGGAGTTAAAAAGAACCACAAGAGGTATACCAGGTACCGGTACCTTTCCAAGTACCATGTGGAACGTGCAGAAACATGTTTCAGTACCTGATGCCGCTTCCCTTTGTTACCCAGTAAGCAGTCGTAACTCTCAACTAGCGGGCCCTGTATCCAGAGGTATCCGTCCAGACAATGGTGGCGGGCTAGGGACTTGCGAAGACTTCTCCCCTCCCCACTCTGGCGTACCGTTGCCCATTGCAACAAGTTCAGCCGTTCGGCTTCATACCGTCCCAAAACGATTCACTTTCTTTTTCTCCCCTCCCTTGCTCTTCTTCCTCCTCCTCTTCTTCTTTTCCTCCTTCTTCTCCTTCACTCGTCCTTCAACACCCCTTTCACACCCCTTTCACTTCTCTGCTCCACCCTTTCACTCCTCTTCCACCCTCACCTGTTCTTCCTACTCTAGCTCCTTGTCTCTCGACGGTCTTCCCCCCCCCCCCCCCCCTTCTACTACAACTGCTCTGCGTGCTCCTCTTCGGACCTCTCAACCCCTCCCTTCCCGTAACCAGTTACCTTGCCTCCCAGTGTCCGTAGACAATGGCTGTTTAACTTGGAATTCGGCTTCCTTCCCGTGTCGTCCCTGGTGGCTCGGATCTCGAAGTCAACGGAAAGCCGATCTCGTTTTATCAGACGAAAACCCCCACAACCCCAGAGGAGCTCGCCCTGCAGTGTGCATCGGTGTGCCTGCATTACATATTGGGCACATTCTGCATATTGAATTGACCTAAACGCGGCCAGTTATTCATTCCGCCCTCCCTTCATCTGTATCTCCCTCCTGGACAATCCTACGCTTGAGCTGGTACTGGCTAGGTTGTGTACTGGTCTACCGAGTGGAGGAACAGATAGAAGAGAAGGAAGGAAAGAAAACTAAAAAACAAAGATATAATACCGATTATCAAATACAAGTGACTTGCAGCTGCAGCCATGGAACATTCATCTCCCCTTGCAGCTATGCAACCTCCATCTATGCTCTTTGGCCACTGTTTTCGACCAGAGACAGCAGGGTTCCCAACTTTCCCTGCTGTCAGGTCTTTTGGTCCAAGCAGTTTCAATTTCAAGGATATTTCCAAGAAGAAGGGGAACCCGGATTACTTCAATGCTAAACCTGTTGGAGGATCTTCCCCCACAGCAAGTCTAGCCGCAGATCTGTCTCAGAATTTCCACATTGATCAAAGGTACGTGTTCTGATAGTTGAATACGTCATGGAGTCTTCTTCCCTTGGGTTTTTCTTCACTTTGTTCTTTACAATTCTTCGTTCGGATGCTGATCTTGCTTATAGTCCTGCGTTAGTAACACCACGGAGGTCACTGTTTTCAGCAAACTTATTTGGTCCCGAACATGGTCGAGGTGAGTTCTTTAGTTAGCCCCTAACTTTTGGTAAGTTTAACGGTGAAGCTAACAGCAATTATCTAGATACGATGACAACGCCCCCTTTACCGTCGTCCTCGCCTGCTATATCTGTCGATATGATGGATATGTCCCCACTGCCACACAAAACTCCATATAGTCACACCGCCGACATGGATATAGAATCTCCTACGGCTGATCTCTCCATACCTAAGCCAAATATCTACATGCCTAGTCCTTTGAAGCCGTCACCAATGGAGTCTCCGCAATGCAATGATCAACAAGAGTGAGTACTTTATGCTTCGCCGTGTTCTACAGTGATTGACTTTTGTTTAGACTGATTTCTAGCAGGAGAAAACGGGCTGCTTTCCTCCGCCCATCCTTGATGAGGACCAAGGCCCACTGTGGAATTTCGAAAAGCCCTGGTGGCAGTCAATCTCAACCGTCTTTGAAAATCGGAAATGGGAGTAATAAATCTACGTCGACATCCCTATCGTTGTCTGAGATGTTTGAGGGATCTCCTGAAAGGCCGGCTCCAAGGATATTTCATGGGAACGATCAAGTGGGTCCTCCTCGTCCAAGAGCCCCATTTTCTGGCTGTGTTGGACAAGCCCGTGACAATGGCTCTCCTAGCCATGGCATCGTGCGTAAGAGTTCGAACCCCTTTTCCCGACCCAGAAAGCAGAGCAGAAGATCACTCAGCATGTTTGAACATTCCGACGACTTAATAAACCAAAATGACGACTCCAGTGTGAATATCCAATCGTTACGCGATTTGGAAGAAGGGCCGACGCTTCACTTACCTCACTTTATACCCGAAGATCAACCTGACGGTCTTCCCCGGATCGAGAACGCTGTTTTGATTGATATTATTGACGGAAAATATAATGACAAATATGATGATGTAATCATTATTGATTGCCGCTTTGAGTACGAGTATGATGGTGGACACATTGCCGGTGCAGTCAATTACAATGATAAGGAGCATCTCGCAGCGGAACTGTTTTCCGACAACATGAAGCCAAACACTGTGTTGGTGTTTCATTGCGAGTATTCTGCTCATCGAGCACCCATAATGTGAGTTTATAATTTCCCTCCCATTCTTTCCACTATATCTTTGCACGGTTCCTTACATCTGCTACTTTAGGGCCAAATTCATCCGACACAAAGATCGTGCAGTCAATATTGATGAATATCCCAAACTTACCTTTCCTGAAATGTACATCCTAGATGGCGGATACAGTGCTTTCTTCGCCGTGTATCGTTCTCGCTGCGTTCCGCAGAATTATGTCGAGATGGGTGCGAAAGAACATGCCTTTGCTTGTGAACGAGGCCTGGGGAAAGTCAAGCAACGATCTAAACTTGGTAGAGCTCAGACATTTGCCTTTGGGCAGCATTCTCCCCAAATGGAAGACAGCCCTACTGGGCGTTGTCGGAATAGCGGTGGTGACCGCAACAACATATCCATGGAAAACCAGGAACCTTGCCGTTTGCCTGGACGGCGCATGCTCAGTTACTGACATCCTTCAACTCTCAGTAATCCCTGAATTATGGCTCTAAACGCTTTGATGGAGTTACGTCTTTACCCATTCTTTTCCGTCTTTCTGTCTCCCTTTTTTCGCCATCGCCTGTTTAGAATCTTTTCGACCAACTTAAATTTATCCGTGTTCATCTCGGCAACCCGCCTTCCCTTGGGGGGCGCCGAACTCTTTTCGCATTTCAAAAACAGCATTCGAAGGAATTGAAATGGCTAACATACTTGTGAGACTTAAAAACCTTATTATTGATTTCTTTGGACCCATCCATGCCGCCGCAGGTGCCATCGAGGGACAACAGAAGTATTCTCTTTAAGCCTGATATATTACATATGCGTGGACAACAAACATTTACGGCCCCTATAGAAATACTTGGACAATGAACAGTTATCAGCTCGGCCCAGTCTCGAGCTCATCCCCGTTATAGATTATCCGATACCTCTAACAAAATTGAGCGATATATGCTCATACTGCATTACTAACTCTGCGGGCATGGAACACCCAATTCTTTCTCTTCTACGTTTTCAGAAAGCAACTTTTATGATATGACCAATACTTTTTTTTTCACTTTTTTCACCACTTTATCCTCAGCGAACTTATTTCCTATGTCTGACAATCGCATATATCTTCCACCATCCATACGCCCCAATATGAAGGGACATGCAACGAACGAACGAAAATTCGATATACCTCCAACCCCTCCAATCCCACAATCTTTCTTTTTTGCTCCAATAGAAGTATATCGGATCTCCATTATCAGCTCAACGCCACCCTCCCCACTTCCTATGTTATTCCTGGATTTTATTCACCAAAATAGTTGTCCTCTTTTCGGATTCAACCGCATTTTGTCGATCTTCGAAACCCTTCCCCCCCCAAAAAAGTAATAAATAAAGACCCTTGGGCCCATCACTGACCAGCGAAGCTTTTCGTCGTCACGAGCCCTCTAGTTTTATTTTGAGATCACTGATAGGCCACATTGTACCGAGCAGATGCTCTTGAACAGTGGTGTTTTAATAGGAATTGCGGATGTCGAGGCTGATCTATTCTGCTTAAATAAAAAAATAACGAGGAAGAATCACGTAGTCTTGATTGAGTGGTTGCGCATTTAACTGCACCCTTTATTTTGAGACTTCTTGGAGCGGGATGAGAGAATATTCAGTGGTCGATTTTATTGGAGATGTTGGGAGAGGAACAAGAATTGATGTACTGACAGACTGGTTGGAGGAACCCGGTCAACCCCCTTGTTTCCTTACTATTTCCATTTTTTTCCTTCTCCTTTTTCCGAATTCCTGTCTTAGAATATACATTACAGTGATTAATATCATAGAAAATGAAATAAAAAGCAAGAAGTTTTGTATCATTTTATTAATAATATTCCTGTTCTCTCGTACTCCATATATATTTTCTGGTTCATGATTTGAAATTCCCGTGTCGGGTTTGGCGCGTGCCTGCTGTCGCCAAATAAATAGACGCGACTTCAATTTAACCCGATTAGATTCAACGTCACCCAACCAAAACATATGTATCCATCAAGATCCATCCGCACCCTCAAGTGCCTTCATACCACACCAAAAACCAGTATCAGCAAACAACAGCAATCAGGGTCGCGACACCAGTTACAGCTACCTTGACTGTCCCGAAGAATGGATATAGACGATATCCTCGCCTCGATTGACCGGCCAGACTTCTCATCGCCCGAAGCTACTGTCCTGGACGCCCAGCAACTTACGCGCTTCTGGGTCTCAGAAAGAGGTGTCCCGGAGCTTCTGCCATGGCCTGGCCCGCTGATGGAGAGGGTTATGGAGAGGGTTCGGAGGCAGGTGAGTGACATATTGGAACTTGAAGCTCCTTTGATTGTTTGTTGGTGGTGGCGGGATTTGAAGGGAGAATTGTGTGTAGATTGGAAACGTAGTAATCATAGGTTGAACCGCCGCAATAAACTGTTGTTCCTATAGCGACCTACTCCCAATAGTTGGGAAATAAAATAACTAAGGAACTCGATGTGCTTCCAGATTGAAAAAATCGAAGACCTCACCGCATCCGCCTCAGATCCCACCTCCGCAATATCAAACTCGACCAAAAACCCAACACTCAACCTCAAGCTCTCCATCCTCCAATCCGACCTCTCCCGCACCCAATACTTAATCCGCTCCATTCTCCGCCAGCGCCTCGCAAAACTCACAAAGCACAGCCTACATTACCTCCTCCTCTCCGCCCCTCCACCTTCCTCCCACCCCAACGCTTCACAATCTCAGCAACAACAATCCTCCCAAGCAACCTTCAACACACCCACACCCACCCTTCCCCCAACTGCCTCTTCAACACATACATATCAATTGAACAAAGACACAAAACACCCCCTCCTTTCTGCGCAGGAATCCGCATTCCTCCAGAACCACCAATCCCTCCTAACAGCACACTACAACAGCTGTTTCCTATCCACGTTTCCAGCACAGTTGCGCCGGCTAGACGATAGTGCGGGCGGGATAAGTATGATACAGGGCCCTGAAACCAAGGAGGTAGTGTTTGTGCGCTGTTTGGTGGACGAAGTGAGGATTGTTATCCCGGCTAGTGAAGAGGCGGGTAGTAGTAGTTATGGGGGTGGGGATATCTATGGCAGGAGGATGCGGTGGGGGGAGGTATGGATTGCGAGATGGGAGGGGGTTAAGGAGGCGTGGGGGAAGGGTGAGGTGGAGGTCCTTTAATTTGAGACTAAGGGATGGAACGTGGGAGAAGCGGGATTACCAGGGAACTGGGGCTTATCTCTTGTCTCATTTTTTATTTATTTATTTATTTATTTATTTACATGATAGTTATGTTTCTAAATACTGGCATATTTAGCGTGGCGTTTTGGATGGGAATTGGTAAGACTAGAGATCCGATAGACATATTAGATGGAAACACAGATTGAGAATCAGAAGAGCCCCCGTTTTTAGTTTGGGAATATTCTGTGTGAGATGTGGGGGAAATAGGGCCCACTAGGTAAAAGCTATAAATTATCAAGAGCTAAGGTAAAACCTGTATTTCTCCTAATCTTAACCTACCCCTAACCTTAGTGTTGAGGGCGGGATTTTGGTGAAAATATATAGGATAGGGTAAAAAGTAAAATTACTCAAGATTCCAAAGCGAGTCGTTGCAAAGTCTACGGTTGGAGGTGGCAATCATCAGTTGTTATTCAGATTGGATTGGTGGCAAAGGGAAGGTGGAGGAGGTGTGAAAGGGGGAGGAGAAGAAATCAAGATATATTCAACGTAATCCGTTGAAAAGTTGCATCATGTTCAGACAAATGAAACTTCCGAAAAGAAAACAGAAACCCAAATATTCCCCCACCCCCTAAATCCCATATAGCACCAACCCATGAATGTATAAAAACCGGTTACCCTGACCTAAGCAAATGGCAAAGAAAATAGAAGGGAAAGGATAAAGTCGAAGTTGAAGTTGATCATGTCTCATTGAGAAAGAGTCAGGGTGGAAAATCATGAAAAAAAGACAAAGGCGAAACGTCGCTTGTAAAAGGTAACTAGAAACTGAAAGAAAAAGAATCCAAATAGGGAAGCGAAAAGCAATGCTTATAGGGCGCTATGTAGTGTCATATAAGCATGTGGTATTGCTTTTGTCTTTGTTTTTTGTTTTGCAATTCGTCTATGCATGATAAACATAAGCTGGTGGTTCGGAGTCTGGAATTCGATCAATGTATTCACGATCTATAAGGCTCTCGATTCTCTTCTTGACCATGTTCACTTCAGGGGTGAAGCGGGATGCGAGTTGGGAGATTACTTCCGTCATCAACTGGGTGTGGGAAAGCTTCTTGCGTTGTCTATTGTTGGTAGCGGAAGTTAGTCATTTTCAACCTTCTATTAGATTAAAGGGGAGAAGTAGATTGATGTTTGAGAGTGGTGCAGTGCGGGGGTCGTTACGGAGTCAGGGGGTGGCGAAAAAAAGGAGAGGTAAAACAAACTTCATAATCCGTACGATGGCAGCTTCAATTCCACCGCCCCGTTCGTCATTCATCTTCTTTTCAGTTTCGTTCCGTTCATCTTTGTTTTCGACTTTGTTACCAGCACTGCTAACGACGCCGATTTTAACTTTGGTATACACGCTGTGGAATCCTTCATTGAAGAAGAATCGATCTGTCGATTTCACGTCCTTACTCATGGGCTCCTTCTTCAACACCCGGGTTTTGGGGGCTACAGCCAGAGACTGCAAATTCCTTGAGAGCTCATTGGTTGGGATATTTGTTCGAGCTTGTATTTCTTCGAAAGAGAGTGATTCATCTGCACCTAGATCATTGAATAGCAATAGAATCACCATTGCGTAGGTGGAAACGTTCAAGTCATGACGAGCGACCTTACCATTTGGTCTCGGGAAGGTAGCTCGAATATCGGCTGTGCCCATGCCAGATTGCCATTGCAATTTGCGCCCATTGTGTTGGCCAAGGTAGAATTGCTCGAAGCTTTGTTTAAGAAGTTCGATGTTTTTTGGATAGGTGCATTGGGTTGCTAGAGTGCCATCTTTATTCGAGTTCGTCATCATTTCCATTGGCCACATGGTGCTCGTGAGCACGTTGATCTCGAGATCAATGCGTTTTGAATCTGACTCTTGCTGCGAAATATAATTCGCATATTTGGATGTGAGGCCCGAGGATAATTCCATATCCTTGAACATGGCTTCTAATTTTTGAGTGAAGGTGTTGCCAACCTCCATTTTCATTTTTTCGATCATCTGTCGTTCAGCATCTGTGCTTGCAGAACGCTTCATAAGTAATCGTCGGGAAAGGTGTTTCTTATAATAAGTCTCGAAGAGATCTTTGTCCCGAATATATCGCAGCAGGGTGATTCCGCTCTCCAGTAAAGCATCTATTTCTTCTTCAGTTTTACCTCGAACTCCCTTCTTCAAGTTTTCGTCGAAGAAAAGGGACAGATATTCTGAGCTTCGGGGGTTTGCATTGATGAAGTCCGCGAAACTTGTCGTTATGGAGGTTTGCATCCCTTGGTCTGCATTAAAAGACATCTCCCAAACCCTATCAAACATGGCTTTCAACTGCAAAACATCATTCACCCATTTAATTGCAGCTGCTGTTTGTAAGTTTACTGGAGCCTTATCATCTGGACTCTTGCCTTTTGTGCCATTTGCAGCTTGGTCTAAGGGCTTTTGACTTAGGAGAGGTCCTTGCGAAAAATCCTTCGCTGCTTTATTGATTTCTGATCCTAGTTCGACGATACGAGCTTGTACAGCTGATGTTAAGGCCCGCTTCTTTTCATCGACCCTCGAGTTTAACTCGTAGACATTCTTCAAATCAGGTAATCGATCATTACCTAGCATATACTTGACCCCGCTATCGGGCATAGCTATGATATTCCCAATGTGTTTCTCGACTAGATTCTCATCAATAACCTGTTTGATCTTGTGCTCTGTCGCCGGAGACAAAGTATAGCGACAGCGTTCTTCCTCTTCTCGCAACCTTTCGGCCACTCGCTTACAAAACGTCGAGGCATCGGCTGTGGCAAGCAGACGTTGACCTTCCGCGAGGTAGAAAAGTCGACTCGACTCTAGAAAAGACGGCTCAAAGGATGTGACATAAAGTTTTCCAGACTCCTCTTCTCTTTCCGTCTCATACAGCCCTTCAAGCATATATATGCAATGCCGTATTAAGGGGCGATCAATGATATTTCCATCGCGTTCAAGCCGGATCAGGAACAGAACGGTGGCTTCAAAGACATCAGCAACGGTCATTTGTCTATTCCCCCCAATGTCTGCATTTAGGACGTAGTCACGAAATGAACACATCGCGGTGACGTATATCGACGGGCGGAGTTTGTCCTGGAGGATTACTTTATCCTTTTTTGGAGAAATGAGTATTAAACAAATGTGAGGTTGGCTGGAAGAGAAGAAAATATTGGAAATCTTACCATGTACATAAGTACATCCGTAATCATTCCCATACAAAGCTGGTGATCTTCCCAAACCTCTCTTAATTTCCCTAGGAAGCGTTCACCTGCTATTCTTCTCTCGTTCACTTGATCCAGCGTGTCGACTGCATCACCTTCCAACGTAAGTGACGGAGCAATATATGTGGTGACCTGCTTTAACACCACATTTTGAAGCCAATCTTTTTTCCAGTTCAGCTACACGATCGTAGAGATCCATGCCTTTCTTCCTGAGGACCAGTTTATACGCATTCCGGTATAATTCTTCAAACGAGAGGTTCGAGGCATTCTTGGTATGAATTTCTCGAAGAGAGGAGGAGAGTACATCCCATGAAGTGTCAAAATCAGCAGAGTTGTCCCGCGCCGCCATGCTCTAAGATAGTTGAGAGTCAGCTGGGAATCCTTGATCCAACGCTCAATGTAGCAAGAAAACAGTTTTGCGGTAAAACAAGTGGAAAGCGGGGACGGAGCTTTTGTGAGTAAGAGAGCGGTGAAAAGCATACCCGCCGTGGAACACGGATTTTATTTTTCGGTTTCATCGCCATTTTTCATTGGAAAATAACGACTTTGCATCCCGTGTGTGAAATAAATGAAGTTGAAGAAACAAGGGAGCCTTGTATGTTGTTGAGGCAGCTGCGGGATTGGTGGGTGAGCCGGAGAACCGAAAGTGAGTGGCAGGTCACGAAAGTGTAGCTACCACGGTTCGCCTCATTAACACGGCGGATATCAATTTCCCGTGGGCAAAACACATCAAGCAATCATAGCATTCACTTTCTTTTCCTTCGTGACGGCATGTGGAGTTTGGATGTTTGTCGATCAGATAACGGCGCGACGAACTATATCACTACCGTAGGAACAATGTATTTCCGAAAAGTATCACGTGATACCAATTATGTCATGGCAAAAAAAATGAACCTTGAGAATTTTTTTTAGATCAACAACGATCCGAGTAATCAAGGCAAACAAAGCTACGATTTGTTCATCGCCGTCCAATATCAATTGCTTTGACTCTTGTAATCGAATAAATAGGATTATGGCTTCCTCCAAAAGGCTATTTCAGAGCCTCGCGACTCGCGTAGCCCACTCTCCTCTCACATCTTCCTCACTCAAATCTCGATCCTTCATAGCATGCCGTAAAAATCAATTCACCACAACCCGATTCTCGACACGCTCAAACAATCCACCTCCATTCCTCTCCTCACAGTTTTCCAGGTATAACTCGACCTCCACCAGAGCTCCTTCTCCTCTTACAGACAGCAAACCTGTGTCCCCTGAAGATACCGCCCAGAACGCACAGCGACGTGCAGAGGAACGGGCATTCCTAATCACATTCACCTGCAAACCATGCAGTCACCGTTCATCACATCGTATCTCGCAGCACGGCTACTACAAAGGCACAGTGCTGATCACTTGTCCGGAGTGCAAAAATCGACATATCATCAGCGACCATCTGAATATCTTCATGGATACAAAGTCTACGCTTGAGGACATCTTGTGGCAGCAGGGGCAGACGCTGTTAAAAGGAAAGCTAGAAAGGGACATAGAATGGTGGGAGGATGGCACTGTGAGAGCAATTGAAGGAGAAGGTACGAAGGAGGCGCTGCGCCATCAACAAAGTCAGGGCCAACGACCAATCGAAAACACGGCTCAACTGCAGCAGGACGTAAATATGCCGCGGAATCAGGACCAAGAACAGGAGAAGGAACAGGAACCGTACCAATAGATGGAGTAGATCATACAGCGGGGCCATAGGGAGAATCCTTGATATTTTCTGTTGCTCGATCGTCTTTTTCAGCGCTGTGTCTATCTGGGAATTTGGAATTCGCAAGGGAGTAACATGTTCTTCATATTGCGTTGGTAGGATATTTTTATGTATAATGCCAGGATTGAATACCCTGCAATGCTGGAAGTTGATAGCAAATTATGTACAATACATTACAAACATGAATAATATGGATATAAATGACCATTCAGCCCTGACCCGTCCCAATTCTATTTTGACAACTCCTTTTAAAAACAGCGTAAAAGAAAGGGTCATACAAGAGGTAAGGGGGGAAAAGTTACCAGCCACGTCTCCTTTCTTGATATTCCGTTCCCCTTTCCTTCCTCTTCTCCCGTTTTCGGTCATTCTTCCGTTTTTTTTCTCGACCAAACTTCTCAGGATCAGCTACAGCTTCGATGCGCCTCTTCACCCTTCTACCCTCCCGCCTAGACTTGACGCTTTCACGGGCAACAGCTATTTGTACCACAAAGTCAGTCGTACCCAATTTTTTCTGCAGCATATCAAGAATCTCCTGGCTGCTGGCCACGAGGGACTTATAGGTGGTTTGGAACTGCATATCGAGGGAGCGGGGTGCAGGGATCGATGGGTCAGTGAAGTGAAGTAGTGGAAGGAGAATTGTCTGTAGGGATGGCGTTATTTGAGATATATCAAGATGGGTACAAAGAGCCGCGATAAGTTTCATGCAAGCCGTTTTACTAATTAAAGATTCCGCTCGGGTGGTTTGAGGCTCCCGTCGAAGGATGGCAGCTACGCGTTCGAAGACGTATTCAATTGCTGGCTTGCTTTTCTTGGCGTGGTTGACAACAACGGCTTCTAAATTGTTTTCGCCATCGCTATCTTCGCTAACGTCGCCTGCCAGATTATCTGTTGTCTTCTGTGAGAACTTCAGATTATTTTGTCCGAAGCAACGTCCAAGGAATACTAGGTTTCGGATAGTCTGGGTTGCTAGGTCTTCAGAGATAGTAGCTGCTTTCAGACATAGCAAACTGGCTCTGGTAATATCTAACATCGTGTAACCCTCCAGCTTGAGGCCAGAAGCCCCTACGACAGGAACAGAACCATAACTATTGGGGAAGTTTCCCTTCGCTTCGTCAGCAAACCAAATTCCGATCAAATTAGCCGCGCAAGATTTTATCCAAGCATGTGGGTAGAAGAGGCTTTCGCAGATATGAGACCAGATATTCGCGCAATCCGCGGTCAACGCAATGGCTGGAAAGAGTTGACATAGCTTAGTGAAGAGTTGTAGAGAGTGATAGAGAACTTCCCATTCTTCTGCATCTCTCTTTTCCACGGCGGGAGCGATGATACTAGGTAGTAGTCCCGTAACAAAGCGCACTTCTTTTTCCTTGTTGTTTTGTTCAGATTCAAAGAAAATCCGTATTGCTTGTAATCCAGTGATCGTGAGTAATGGATTTTGTGTTTGTTCGAGCCAGGATCGAACAGGGTTGAGCATAGACGTCAGATGCTTGGAATCAGCACGACTGTAGAGATTGCCCAGGAGCACACCTGCCATCTCCCGACACTCGACAGCATCATCATTAGACATAACCATTACCACAGGCACAAACAGTGTGCCAACAATATCCTGCGCAGGATCACCATTGGACTTAGAGAGCAGAAGGTGAATTGCTTCCATTACTGACTGACGGCCTTCTTTATGCTGATAGTCAAGGTTTTTTGCGAGAAATCCAAGCTGCTTTGCCCACCTGCTTTTAGCCTGAGGGTATTCAATCATGAAATGTATAAAGACACCCCTAGCGAGATCACGGGCGCTCCGCGTATGGTTTGTTACCATCATCGCAGCAACATTGTCTACAAGCTCATACATTTCTGGGATAATAAATTTGCGAGACATGACCGCTCGAATGAAGTTAAAGGCAACACCCTGGCGGTCAGGCTCCTCGATATCAGCAGCTATCCTCTTCAATAAATAGCCTAGGTGTGAGTCTTTGAGCTTCGTGGTTCGCCGTTCGCGTATGATCGAGGAGATAAGTTTTAGTGCGGCTTGAGCAGCTTCGGTATTTGTGCTTGGAGCGTCTTTGATCATCTTGATAGCTTCTACGAGATACACGTCGGAGTTTTTATCAAGCTCTGAGAGTGGGGTTTTGATGATTGTGGACAGGAGCCTAATGGCGGACAACTTGATTTCCTCGTAGCTTTGCAGCAATGCATCCCCAATGATGGGGAGGAATCCGGCAAGGTTGGCAGCAGTCATGAGGGAATTGTATTTATTCAAGACACTGCGGAGAACATCGAGTCCAAACCGAGACAGCTTGTAGGTATATGACGAGGTGCTTCCTCGGTTCAACCGGTTTCTAGGATTGAGCAAATTGACTATGAAACGAGCTCTGTCCCCCCGCTTATCAGCTTCAGGTTTCTGGGGCTCGGTTTTATAGGATACTTTTATCACTTCGTAGCATAACACTAAGAGTTCACGGCTTTCAGCGCCTGGGTTTCGTAGCAAACCGACTCCAATTCTTCTGAGCAATTCATCGACCTTTTTGATAATTGTTGTCGTAAGTTTTTCCCGCAATAGAGCTTGAACTGGATTGATAAGAGCTGATAAATGTCGAATCGTCGAAATCTTCGCAAGGAGTTCCATAGAATCATAGCTTTTGCTGCTTTTCACCTCCTTCATTTTGCTCACATATTCTTCAGCGTCTTTCTCTTGGCCAACGGCTCCAAAAATATCGTCCATTATCACGGCTACAAGTGCGTCAAGGTTCTGATCCAGCTCACCGGGCTTGAAGTGATCGCTAGTTGTCACTAGAATGGAATGGACCGTGAAGGATAACACATGAAGCTGGTATCCTCTTGTTAATGTGCTCCGCAATTCCTTGAGAATATATTCAAAGTAGGATGGCCCAAGAATAAGCGCAATATCAGCGAGGGTTTTCCTAGCCATATCTCTAGCATCCTGTGACCGGCTTCGAAGGATATTAGCTAGGTCCAGGAGCACTGAGGGGAGGAAAAGTGCCATATCTTCCTCAGGCAGAAGTTTAAGTAGCTTAACCACGATCACTGCGGCAGGTACGCGGAGATGGACTTCCGATTCATCCTTTTGGTGAACGAACTCCGACAGGAAGGGGATAAAGTTGGTTTTCAGCTCCGTCCCGATGCGAGTTTCTGTAGGTAAGGTTCTGGAAAGGGAGGCTTGAACTGCGGACTCTGGCTCAACGGCTTCCATTTGCCCATCTTCAGCAACCGAGTGCTCTTTCGTGGTATCCATTGCTCGCGACAAGCCATCAGTCAGTTGGCCAAGCAGTCGTATGACATTCTTCTCCATCCTTGGGAGACTCTGCAAGTATCCCTTGTATCTTCGAAATATCGCTCTGAACTGACTCCATTCTAGCCCTTCAGAGAGCACTCCAATAGTTGCAACTGTCTCTGCAGCCAGGTTATGCGCACTTTCATCTTCCGCCTGATCAAACACAAAGTGTTCAATGAGAGGAAGCAAAAAAGAGCTGATATTTGATGACCCAATTTTCCGATTCCTAGCATCGTTTGCCAGACGCCGCAATGCACGAAGACGGCGATGTTGTTGGATATGGAGGATGTTATTGAAGAAAGATGCCTCCTCATCTCCGTTGGCTAATAGATCAACCATGTCACAAACGGTCGGATGTTCCGGGTGGCGTGTTATGAAATAGCCCATGATGGAAACGAATTCTGCCCGGACCGTCTCAACAGGGTATTTAGCCCCGTTGCGTAACGATGGAAGCAAAACTCCGTCGACCAAATTTAAGTAACCCCCATTATCGCTGTCTAACTTTGAAACTATGCTTTCCACAAATCTCTTTATCCCGAATGACGAACTGGATCTAATTGCAAGTTCCTCCTGATCTTTCACATGATAAAGAAGGTTGAACAATAATGGGCGCCATTGTCTGGCCGTGAACTCCTTGTACTTTTGCTCATTGATAATATTAAATGCCTTAAGCCTCCTGTCAAAATCTAACTCGTCAAGTTTTTTGCTAGAAATAGAATTGAGATCCGCACAAAGTAAGGCAACATCCTTAATATCAGTCTCGTGGTCTGCGAACGCAAATAATACGGAGGAGGCCACTTCGCGGTTTGGATTATCTTTGAAGTAATCGAATAGTGAGGAGATAACCTCAAAGATACGGTTGTTGAGATCTTCGTTATCTCGCGGGTCATAAAGCGGTAGGAAATGCTGCATGACACGCAGGAGCCCACTTTTAGCTTTTGGAGGAACTCGATCTGCGGGTTCATTAAGAAGGAATGAAGCCGTACTAATTAGCTTGGTGGTTTCCTGTGAGGATTGAACGAACGGAGCAAGGTTTGATAGCGTGTCGATTGCAGCCATCTTCAATTGGCGACTTGATTGTTTTCTGAGTAGAGACTCGAGGTGAGTTAACATGTATTCGACATGAGGTCCTAAAACCTTTGACCGGACTATATCTGTTGTTGAAGCGTCTGGCAAATTCTCCGGGTCTTTTGACTGTCCATTTGCGACATTAATAAGCCCATTTAGGATCTCGCACAGAACAAATATTTTAACGTCCTCGCGGGCAGATTCCACACCCACACAATCAACTATTCGTTGAATTATGGGTTGGTCACCGTGGAGAAAGTAAATTGCTGATTTGGGATAGGATGCCCAAGTACGGAAGAGACGTAGCAGGGCTGACACGCCTTGCGCTGTTTCCACAGCGAAATTTTCCAATCTTGGGCTGATAATCTCACTAAAAATTAAAGGCATATATGGATTCCAATCGGAGTCAGAAGAAACTGTGAATACCAAATCGAGACAATGAGTACCTGACTGGCGAATGTTGCGGATGAGAGATGTCTGGTTGTCTTCTGAGTTGCTGTCCACCAACTGCCTACATGCTCGAATGAGGCAGTATAAGATCACATTCATGGAGAGGTCGACATAGGGAAACATTTTTGTTTTCAGGGTTTTGAACATAGTTTCCACCATTTTTAGTAGACCATATTGCTTTCTGACGCCCATTATCTCTTGATTGAGATATTGGCGCTGCTTAGAGTCGGATTCGAGAACACGAACATCGCCCAGCGGACCAAATGATATTTTAACGAAGTGGCCGAAGTCATTTTCGGAGAGTTGAGATATTATCCTTAAAATTGTTTTTCTGCGCCCCTCTTGTGTTCCCTGTCCGCCCCTGGAGCGCTCCGCGAGCGACCATCTTACCATAAAGGAGTCTCAATAACAAAGGGAAAATATCAGGACGGTGATCTTCCTTAATCGTACTGTCCTCCTGGCCAGCATTTACGAATACTGACAGTTCATCTCTGAATCTTGCGTCATCCACAATGTTCATTATGTTGGTCTCGTAAGGTTGAATGGAGGGTGACTTCCAGGTAAAGAGAGCTTTTAAGGCGGATTTTTGAATTTCCGTGTCTCCATTACACAGAAGCTCAAGCAAAGCTTCATGTACCTCAGACGATTTGTACAAGACTCTCGGGTTAATGAACTGCCCAAATATGTTGAGCATGGCTTTCCGGTCCCGTATATTCCACGGGGAAGAGGGACTATCATCTGCGGGCCGCTGGCCAGAAGTATTTGATTCGATGATAGTAGAAATATCCTCGTCATGAGTTGCCCATGATAGGAATAAGGGAACGAATTGCCGGGATCGTTTTTCTGCCACTTGAGGCACAGCTCCCAGGACTTTAAGAGCCTGTGTTCGCGGGGAGGTAAAACTTTGTGCTGATGTTGAATGAGCAGACTTAAAGTCTTCTATAAGTAAAAGATCAGAATTTTGGGCATCAATAAAAGAGGTCGACACGGTGTTTTCGATATTTGAAACATTAAAGCACTCAAATTCAGACGTAGCGGTTGGTCCTTCTGATTCTGCTTCAGGCGCACCCATTTTCATGTCAAGGGGACTGAGTTCTCGCAATCCGCGAATAGCAAGCTCTGCAACTATGGCCTCTCCATTTTGAACCTCACAAATTGCTTTGATCGCATCACACGCATCATCCCATAGTGATGCCAGCCTTTTCGATAGCAGACCAAAGCAGAAATTTGGAATAATTCGATCTAGCCACTTTTGGGTTGACGCTGCCGCATAACCGATAGCAAGCTTGCGGATTTGCATCGATAGATACCTTGACGTTTGGAGACTCAGTTCGCTTTGTTCAACTTCAATCGCTATCGCTATGTATGTATTATCGCTGTCGTTCATCCTGGAGAGCAAAGTTTGTAGAATCTTGAGGGAGAGTAATCTGACTTTATGTGATGGGCCAGAAAGATTTCCGATAAGAGCGGTGGCAAATGGTTCGAGGCCCTCGTCTGATACCTGATCATTTTTGGGACAAGCAGATATATAAGCCAATGTTGCTTCGAGGAAAACCGGACAATGTGAGCACTCAGGACCATTCAACATCACCTTATTCCAAAGACGTGGATCAAGTGAGCCTAATTTGATAGCAAGACGGACATATGCTAAAAATCCTTGGCCTCGGGTGAAGGTAATTTGGCTCTCGCGGAGGTTGGTAGAGGGTGCCATCGCAGCCTTCAGTTGAATATGGAGGTGCTGGACAAGTTGTGGAAGAATTGAAGGTTCGGAGGAAAGTAATATGGCATCGTGTAGTTTTGTATATGAATGTAGAAAAGCGACATCTTGGTCTGTGAGATCTGGTTTGATGAATCTTTCCATAATTGCATCTTTCCATTTGTTGGGGCACACTACCGATCCAAGCTTATTAGGTTCAGATGTGATGCAACGAGCAGCCTGAAGTTTCGGTAATATCAGGCAAAGACCAGATTCGTAGTCTTTCCAGAGAGAAGTGATGAACCTAAAAACAAATATCAGGATTTGCATTTGGACTAAGATGAACGAATTTCACTTACCGCTGAAAGTATGGGAGGACAACAGTTTGAAATCGCTCGGTTCCGAATGCGGAGAATAACGAGCAGAATGGCAAGAAGTACTCGCTCAATTTCTCATTACTAATGGATTCCATGAGAGGGCGCATAAATGACAACAACTCATTCATAGGGGACGTCTGCACCGCAGCCGCCACTGTGGCTAATAGCAGTTGGATCGAATAGACAGGGGTATTGGGCAATTCAATGACGCGACCCAGAAGCGTGATGAGGCTTTGATGTACCCTCTTCCAGTTTTTAATTCTAGAACCTTTACGTGCAGTTACACTAACAAAAACTAAGCGGATATCTAGTTTTGTCACTGCAACGTTGCCATTGGGCTTAGCATGTTCGACATGGTCACAGATCACATCAAAAACTGAGCCAAAAGTGTCGGTAGATGTGTGATGAACCAAATTAATGACAATCCCGTTAAGAACCTGCTCTGTGAGGGCGCTTTGGGTTGCATTTTGCACAGCAGAAGCATTGATGAGGCATCGTAAGATGTCTGCTCCATTTGAATGAATGGCACTATTCACTCCCTTGATTGCATCCGCAAACATTGACATGAGGCCCTGTTGATACATTAAAATCTGGCGTGGTCCATCTGTATTGGCGAGATCCTCAAAAAGATATGTAACAGCTTTTTCAAGAGGTGACTTATTTTTGTAGTAAACAAGGGCGGCCTTCCGTATGAGGAATGACATGGACTCCGCCGCAAATCTTGTCACGAAGTGCTTTTGGCGTTCTTTTCCAAGGTACGGAGACATTATTCCCAAAAATTGCCGTAAGTCTGGAACGAGGAGTCGGGATAGAAATTTGAAAATCCAAGCCAGACATGTAAAACTCCATTCTATCACCTCGATATTTGGATGTGTGGCAGCGACGGATGCTATTAATGTGACAGCTGACGCGAAATGTCTTTCAAATCGCTGACCCAAGTCCCGACTAAATTGAGCTACCAGGCTGAGAAGAGGTTCCAGGCTCAATTCATCCCTTTTCCCTATGTACTCGGCCAATAATCCCATTATTCGATCCTCATGATGTAGAATCTGTGGTAAACTCTCACTGAGCCGATTTACACGCTGGGAAAACTGAGTAAAATTCTCGGATAGATTGAGTTCCATCCAGTACTCCAGGGACGCCCTAAAGTACGAATCCGATTCGGTATCACTGTCATCGCCAATGCTGTTGCGGCGCACACGATGGATGGGATCAATTTTTAATTTGACGATGCGCTGGGAGAAAGATTCGAACCGGTGGGATTTTGTCATAGTGGTGCCTTTCTTTATGAGATTGGAAGGCTTGCCCCAACGTCCGGGAGGTACGGTCGCCATGTTGTGGGCTGCCAAAACTATTCGCTTCAAGCAATTTTTGATTTCCTCAGAATTATTCAAAGCTTCAAAAAAGAAAATAAGTTATCGCGGCGGTCAAACGATAATCCGGGTATTCCTTATCTTATCTGATTGATGGATAATCACGTGATATAGATCTTAACCAGCGAATTGTGAGATATTCCTGCGCATTGCAAGCTATCATCACCATACGTTACTATACTTGCGTAATACTTGAATTATAATCTACAAAAGATCATCCATGCATCTGTTCGGGTTTCGGGCTGTCTTACCTGAGAATCGTAACGCCGATGATTCATTGGGATATGAAAAAGACCATGTTAGCGTAGCAAAAATAAAATTTCAAATAGATAAACGATGCAAAATCTCGTTATCAGGCTAAATGGCAAAGGGTTTCTTTTATTCCCAGGCCGAAAAAAAGAAGAGACTCCATGCCAACATGACAAGTGCAAGTAACCTCTCGCGAATCCCAAGCCTCAAGGTGGGCGACAGTTTCATGCCTTACATGTCTGCGTGTAAGCGTTTACCCCTTCAGCACCATAATTTAGCTCCAGTTGTCCCTTTATATCCTAGATTTGCATAGTCTGCGAAAGAGGTCAGCTTCTGTTCAGGAAAGATTTCACCCTCCGTTAACGGGTCAGCAGCCAACTTACCCGGATCGTAAAAGATAACATATCCTCTATCGTTCGTGACACCAATCTCCTCCTTGAGGAATTCAGCAAAGGCCTTGGAGAAATTAACATTATCGTCTGGGTTTAGATTGCCCAGAGAAGTTACGCGCATTTGAAAGCCTAATGGGGCCATGATTATTAGTTCTTCGTTATGTGATACATAAATGCATATGATCCAGATAAGGTACATACATGGATCATGAGTGCCCGCAAACGTCAAGACCTCATCAGAGCGGATTTGAACTGAAATGAAAGACTCGGGCTTTTTAAGGATCCTCGCTGACACCTTGGAGAGTGAAAGGGCGAGTTCTTTGCTCTGCTCGCGTGAGAGAGCAACATTTGTGAGAAGCTCAATGAAAGGCATTTTTAGCACAATGCGGCGAAGAGCAGTGGCTGATTAATGGTGAAATCTCCGATGCTTCCAATTTCTTTTGTTTTTGACGATGTTCATTATAGTCGAGCCCGGCTTAACAGAAGTAAAGTTATGGTTATGTCACAGTTCTTGGCGCCGGTGCGGAAGTGATTTGAAGGTCGGTTCATGTAGCTTAACCAATAACTAGTTACGGGGCAAAGCTCTCTGATTTGTACATACAGTACGATCCCATCTTTCAGACATTTCGCCTTTCTATAAGAGGTGCAAAATGAAATTCATAAGGGGGAAGTCTTATTTTAATTTTTATTTTCGGTGGAATCATTCATGTATCACGTGACTGAAACACTAACAAATTGCACCAAATTGCAATTTATCAACCTCACATTCTACCAGACAAGGATGATGTAGAATTCAATTAGTGAATAACCACTGTTATTCAACTCTAATTCTATAGAGCTTCCTGCATTTTTGTTGCAAATTGACGGCCTAATTACGCGTTGACGTGAATGAGTTAGGAAATTGATGAGATTTGTCCACTTAACTAGTTACTTGGGAATTAACTACGGCGGTGCCCACTCGTCTTTCAGGCTTTTAAATAATATTACCACCCTTATAAATGACTATGGCGTCTAAGATGTAAGATGCTCTTGCCCTCCAGTTATGTGGATATTGGGCTGACTATGAATACAGAATTGTTGTGGGGACTGTAAACTGCTCAATCAGAGAAGTGTTCACCAAGCTGGCAAAGCTGCAGACCAAGCAGAACTTCACTTTCGCTATTATCTCTGGGGAGCTTTTCGGAGATGGATCAAGTGAGGAGGAACTGAAGGACATTGCGGCATTGTTAAATGGTACAATCAAAGTGCCGTTACCCACTTATTTCACTGTTGGAAATCACACGATTCCAAAACGCGTCATTGAAAAGATTGAATCTGATGATGAAGTCTGTCCGAATCTCTATTTTCTTGGTAGACGTGGAACCCTCAAGACATCCGAAGGCATCAAAATTGTGGCGCTGGGGGGTAGCTTTGAAGATTCCGCAACGCCTGCGTCAGGGTTAAGCGATAAATACTTACCCCGGTACACAGAATTCGATGCCAGATCGCTATTCGAAGCTCACGGCGCTGATATTTTAATAACAAATCAATGGCCAAAATCGATTCATAATGGCTCAGAAGTGTCATTGCCAGAGAATGCCAAAACACCAGAAGGCACACAATGCGTGGCAGACCTCTGCGCGACTTTGAAACCTCGATATCATTTTTCGTCAGGCGCCCCTTTCTTTTACGAGCGCGAACCGTTCTTTCACCTCCCCACAGAAGAAGCTCCTGATGTAAAAAAAATTACTCGATTCATCAACCTGGCTCCGTTCAGCAAGTCATCAAAGCAAAAATGGCTGTACGCTTTCACTATGGATCCACAAGCAGCTCCGTTAACGGCTATTCCACCTGGTACTACAGCATCGCCACTCCTCTTTGCGTCAAAAAAGCGACATGCTCTCCCGGGCCAGCAAGAGTCCTTTAGTCGCTTTGCACATGGAGATGACTATCATCGACCTAGCAAGCGTATTCGAAGACCCCCGCCGGGACCTTCAGAATGCTTCTTCTGTTTGTCAAATCCAAATATTGCCACTCATCTCATTACCTCCATAGGCTCAGATAGCTATCTCACTACTGCAAAGGGCCCGTTACCTACTTCTGCTACATTCCGCAGTCTAGGATTTCCCGGACACTTGTTAATAATACCTTTAACTCATGCACCGACTTTCGATGAAATTGAAGATTCTAATTCGAAGGTAGCTACTATCAAAGAGATGCAGAGATACCGGTCCGCCCTGCATGCTATGCTGGATGAACGATCCCAAGGCGAGCTGGGCGCGGTCACCTGGGAAGTAAGCCGCAGTAATGGGGTACACATCCATTGGCAATTCCTTCCAGTTCCCTCGGACCTAGTGACCGGTGGTTTAGTAGAGGCGGCTTTCAAGGTGGAAGCCGAAAATCTCAGTTACCCGAAAATCCAGAAGGTGGACAACAGTACGTCGGAAAAGGGAGATTACTTTCGAGTAAAGATCTGGAGCCCTTCGCCGAGAGCCTTGGAGGGCGGAGAAAGGGCAGGGGAAGGGGTAAAACCAGGCACGGAAACTACTCTGATCCTTCCGCTATCGCCGGAGTTCAGGTTCGATCTTCAGTTTGGCAGGCGAGTGATGGCTAAACTCCTCGAACTCGAGAAGAGGATGAACTGGAGAGATGATATCCAATCGCAGGAAGAAGAGACAGCCGATGCGGATGACTTCAAGAAGGCTTTTGAGAAGTTTGACTTTTCGCTTGAAGAATAGCGCGGAAGGGTAACAGGAACAACTCAAAATTGACGGGATCAGCGACTGTTTCTTAACCAGCAGACTGCCGCTACCTTGGCAATACTTTATTCAGCCTTTTTCCTCCCCACTTAGAGTTGCGTATGTGCCTAAAGTCATCCAGCGCCGTAATATGGCGGCATACGATGAGCAGGACACAACTGTGCGAAACTAACCGTTATCAGGTATTAACCATTGCCCCATTCATGCACCCCGTTTCCCATTAAGTAACGACGGCAAATGAAACTGGTCTCCATGTACCTTTTACCAGATAATTGAAGCAGAAGCACCATAATTTCTTCCTTCCTACTTAACGCTCTAAGTTTGCGGCCCATCATCCCATCATTCATCTCTCCTCCCTCCCCCCAGTGGCTCTGGAACTGCCCCTGCCGCTTCCTGTGAGAGCTCACAAAATTTCTCCCGCGTTCCTCCCTTTTAAAAATCGGACCTCCCCACAGTCGGCATAAGTCGGTCTTACCCGTTTGCTCGATCGGCTACTCTCTTGTATCTTTTTCTGCCCGCTTACCCTGGGCGTGTGAGTTGCTGGGCTTTGCAGCGATCCCGCCATGTTTTCTCTCGGGCGGATATCTCACGTGGGCTGTAACGGATGAGAAAGTTTTTTTGGTAGGTAACAAGAGATGAAACCCCTGCAGTGAAAAACTCGGTCAGATGAGATTCCCAGTTTATTGGCAGTAATGGCTAATATGTTTTCAAGACACGACATGCGCGAAGTCCACCTAACATAAATACCCTTCACTGTTGAATAGATCCTACGAGTCCTATATCAGCCTAGTTGTCATAACCAGCCGTCATTTTGCCCAGCGACTTTAGATGACGCAGAACAGGCTCTTTGTGAGCTAGTCTGAGCATTTGAAAGAAATTTTTTATTCAGTCGCTTATATGGCCTCACCAGCTTCGCCTCCATGGCCTCCTTGCACCGATCTCCCGAAAGTTGCTGAACCAGCCAAATTATCAGCCACCAGTCAATCCAAGCTAAGGCGCAGGATGAGCCTTCTCCAATACCGCAGACGGCGCGGGAAAAGCGCCAAATACGGCGCCAAATCAGCATCAGAAAGTCTCAGCGAACAGCTCAGGTCCACGTCTTTATCCGACGGCCCATCCAAAAAGAGGGTTAAATCAGAGGACAATGCTTTGTTGTCTACCACGATTTCGCCCAACGAAATAAGCTTCAATGAGGACAGAAACAACAACGGGTTTCCGGATTTATCATTTGAACCAGTGTTCCGTGCGGGTATTCTAATATTAATCACGTCCCCCGAGGGGCATGTGTCTTTGGGAATGTGTGATGGAGAGGGAGGTGCGTCGGGCATCATCAAAAGGAGGCTCAGGCCATCGCGGAAGTTGAAGGAAGAGCCGTAGTTGGCCCCCTTAGCATGGCTTTGGGTGGTATCTGGTTATCCCGACGAGGGTTTGTCAAACCGCTTCGACGACTCATTTTTATCTCCCCTCCTGGTGTCAGTCTGTTAGATATAAGGAGTCAGCATTCATTGTTTAAATATTATTACATCGAGGGTACCATATCAGTTGTTAAAATGTGTAGAGGGCTTCCTGTCCCTGGCAGCTTGGGAATACCCATCCATAAGCTACAGGATGCTGGACGTACAAACTTAAATTGCTCTTTATTGAATCATGTTGATCCTGCAGCTGAATTAAAGTAGAATATTATTGTTAGCCAAGCGGGGTGGTAAATCTATGGAAAAGTCGTCTGCTCGTGGGTTTAGCCGCTACCAGAAAGAATACGAAGACGATGTAAAATGGGCCAAGTGTGCTGTGTGCTGATATGAAGGGAACAAGGTGTCAAAAATTATCACTTTGTGATAGCTAACGAAGACCAAACTTCCCAATTTCAAACCATTTTTAAAGTTAGCTACCTAGATATGCACTATAAAATAACAGAGTATAAACCATCACCATCCCCTATCAAAAGGGCAGATTGAAGAGTAAGTGAAGGATATAAAACAGGATGGAATAAAAGACATAACCGAAAATAATACCTAGGAACCAAAAATACGAGAAAAAAAAAAGACTTTATTCGTAAATAATCATCGGTATATATATCCGATCAGCTAGGGACCCGCCAGAAGCCATTTTGCCGTATTTTGATCTGGTTTTCTTCCCCTCCGTTTTCGGTGGTTTCGCTTGCTTACCATGTCCTATCCACCAGTGCAAAACCCCTCCGTAAAAGCGCCCCTAAAGAACCTAATCCACCTTAGCCCCCCCCCCCCCCCCCCCCCCCCCCCAAAAAAAAAAAAAAAAAAAAAAAAAAAAAAAAAAAACCAGACATCAGCCTTCTTCTTTATATATCTATAAGTAAAAGGAATGCACTGTTGAACGCATCAGCAGCCGCAAGGCCGAACTTGTTCGCTGCAAGAGATTGACCAAGGAGACACGCCTCAATCACGGAACTGCTGGCAAAACATGTGTTTGACAAGGTGCTGCAGATAAAGATGATAAGGATATCGATCGAAACCACTGAGGAGTGGTTGAAGAAGGTCAAGTCAACGGGAGAGTACAAGTTATTGTTGAAGACGATGAGTGGATTGCCACCAACGCAAATACCGAAATCAAGATCCAGGACGATCAGTGCCAAGTCAGAGGCCGAGGAGGAGGAAATTGAAGGAGAAGAGTGGGAGGAGAAAAATCCAGAAGAAACGAGTTGATTGGAAGCTCTATTAGAGGATCCAACTCTCCCAGCTTCATTCCGATTTCCCTCGCCCCCTTTAATAGCGGGTTCAACTATGTTGGCTTCATTTTGAATGCCTTGGACTCGGTTATTGGCGCTTTCAGTCGACACTGCGGCACTTGAGGTTGAGGTTGTGGTAGTAATTGCCGCTACTGTTCCGCTTGTCGTTGCCGTTGTCGTTGCCGCTGCAGTTGCAGTTGCTTTCTCCTTAGTGGTAGTAATTGCGGTAGTCTTGGCTGCTTTTTCGAGTGCTTGCGCAACTGCAGCTGAGCATTGGTCTGGGACAGGTTCAGCATCAGCGTTAACGTCAGCAGCATTAACGTCGATAACGGCTTCTGCGACTGCAGCGTTGATTTCGTCTTCAGAGACGTCAGGGACAAGGAGGTTCTCTGTGAAGATACATCCCTCCTCATCTCCCTCAGTGTTACCTAAAGTTGTTGTGAACGGGTGTCAGTAATCTTACATTCGAGTGGATGCTAGGTACGAAGATCAACTAGGGTGAAAAATAAACTAACAAGTGTTCCCGGCTCCAGTGGCATCGTTGACATCACCCGGCTCGAATGTGCCACTCTCGATAGCTTGCAGCGGGTTACCACTAATGGAGGCAATCTGAACAGCTAAATTCAATGTGATTTGCTTGTTGATTTCAGCTGCGTCCTCGGAGGCTGGGTCTTGGTGCTGGGAAATCGCAGCAATCTCGGGGTTGACAGCTTCGATGCTTTCACAACGCGCACTGGCCTCCCCGACTGTTCCGGTGTTGCGCTCCAGAGCACGGTAGATGAGCGCATCTGTCATACCTTGGATATTGCCAGTTGCTTTGGCATTGGTAAAAGCCTGATCGGCAATCGCTTGCTGGAGACAATCAAGGTCCTCGATCTGTCCAGCTCCGGCAGCTGCACCCTATTGACGATAGGAGAGTAGTTAGTGGTGAACCTCCCATTCTTCTTCTGAGGTCGTGTAATGCTCCTGGAACTGCATAAAATTTTTGGATTAAATACATACCTCATTATCCAATAGTCCAAAAACGGCATCCTCAATCTGATTGGGGTTATCAAGTTGAAGGAGTTCCTGAACAGAGCTCACAAATTTAAAATGTGATAACTCCTGGGGAAATTCACGGACTCGGAGGCGGGAACCAGGACTTTTATGAGGAAGTGGCCTGGCAGAGGCCAAGGTGGCCAAGGACAAAGCCTGGAGAAGCTTCTGGATTTTCATTTTAAATTAAGATGGTGTTGAAGTATAATTTGGTATTAGCTAAACAGAGAGTGGACGAGACCAGCCCGGCCCAGGAGAAATATTATTGTCAAAGGAGCAGAGGTTGCTGCCGATTTGGCCAGTACGAAGATATCTCAGATGGCCTGATCTGGTGCTGGATAAAAGTAAGCAATATAAGGGGCAAGTATGGCAGTGGGTCCAAGAATAGAAATCAAAATGATAAGTCTAGAGAGAAGCCCAGAAAGTCCAGCTTAGAAGAACAACCGCAAACTAAAAGAATGAACACAGAGATAAAACCCGAAATAAACAGAGCCTAGAAAGGAGAGGAGGCGCAACTCTCTCTTTATGTATTTTCGCAACCGCGATCAGAATAAGTCCGAAGACGTCTTGAGATCAAGACGTAGCCTCAAAGAACAGACATCTCCAAATGGGCATAGAAAAACATGTGAAAGCTGCGAGCCAAGCCCCGCAGAGTCTCGAGCAACAGCCATCTGACACAGATATGCGGCTTCCCCCCTGAACAGATTGTTCTTGGCTGCTAAGAAATAGGAGAGTCACCCGTCAAGTACCGTTTACTACGGTAGGGATATTGGAGATCAATTTCTCTTTCTGGATTTGCCTCATACCGAATATGAGATTAGCAAATCCCACTAAGCAGCATTGGACAAACTGAGACCGCCATAGCTGTTTAGCAGCTTCAAAATTGAAAAGCCAAGGCCAAAGGCAGAGGCACACAAGCAGAAAGAGGACGATGAGGTATGTGTAATGGCGTGATAGTTTTCCTTTTTGGACATTCCAAAACACCCAGTGGACTCCTGGAAGCATTGACAAAAATTGCTATAGACTGATGGTTGAGACGACCAAGGTGCCGAGCACTCCGTATTAGCAGTTAAGGATATTATAGGAATTGTTAAGATTGACGTTTCAGATCTCCTCAGGGCTTACAGGCTTTTTGCAGCGCGGCTAGTGCGCGCTTAGCGCTTTTATTTTCCAGTTAGCGCAGGAACTCGAACTCACCAACCTCACCAACATCAACAACATCAGCCACGATGACGACGACAAGTCCTAATACCGGATGTTATGAATTATATTTGATGCATCATTACTCCTCTATTGCCCTCACAGAGGGTCCAAGACGTGCCATACAAGAAAATGTGGTCGTTTTTAATCTCCTGTTCAAGAATGAAAAGTAACCTCATCATGACACACGCTTCAAACCGCACTGGTTAGCTGACGCCATTATCGGCAGCCAGCATGAATAAAATGAAATCCTGTCACCACTGACATTTCCGTAACTGGAAATAATGCTCCATTGTTTTTACATGCAAGACATCGCTAAATTACTCTATGCCAACCTTGGAAAGTTGATGCTTAAATCGACAAATATTAAGACTGTTTTAGATTATTTTGGCTAGAAATGCGTGTTGACAAATTATTGATAAAGTCTCCTGTCCATTGCCATATCTGTGACACACGGACAAAAAGGGTTTAATGTCATGTCCTCCTTCAATATGGCTGCCAATTTCTGTCATGAATTTGTCATCTTCCGTTCCAAAAGTTGCTACTTACTTGAAGCTTGGGCGCAGCAAATTAATACGCATGCCGCGTCACAGGTTTCCTCAAATTGATCCGAATCTCTGCCCCCACCGTGCCAAGCGCCGGGATGATGTAGCCCGATGTTGAGTCAAATCATGGTCTAGAACACGGTGGACACGATTTTCACTGCCACATACCCCTCATTTAAACAGCCGGGCCATCTTGCATGATGCCTATCATCATTGATTTAATTGGTTGATCAGACTTTTAGAGGTATATAGTATTATAACCCAAATATCAATTCATTGAAGAAAATCCAATGCGGGGTCGGGCCGCAGCTGCGGGAATACAAAGTCCGGCCATTGCAAGCTTATGCAACCCTCTGCGGGACGAGAATCGTTGGGTCGATGATGTGGCCTACCTACTGTTAGTGTTTCTTCTGTGGCCTGGGTGTCAGTGGATATGGGGACCTTGATGAATTGGTGACCCCCCCTTAATTTTCCCTTCTCCCCCTTCATACTTTTAGCGTTTGATTTGGTTGTTCTGGTGCATTAATAACTGGTTTTCTGCAGTGCGGGCAGTGCGGGTATATGGCAGGTGTTATAAGCGCGGGGAATCATGGAAGATCCTAAAGATCATACGAATAATACGCTATGAAGAAATGTTGAAATAGGCGACGGGATGTTTGTGAAAAAGAGGAAAGAGATCTTAGTGTTTTCAGTTAAGGTGTCTACGATCTGGTTTAAGCTTTACTTATTAAAACTATGATAAACCTCTATTAAAATAAACACACTCTGCACATACCTCACCGCCCCCAGGGTTAGGGTTAGGATTAGTTAGTTCAGGGTAACGACCTGAGCCCACTCTTTAAAACCATGATAATCTTGACAGAATGGCAAGCTTTGATCGATTGCTTAAAAGTTGCCAACTACCAGAACGACTGTCAATGGTGGAAAATATGTCACGTGACAGAAGGATCCAACAAATCTTATGATCCCATCTAAAATTTAGACATCGTCTACATACTCCAATTAAAACTACAACACTTACTAGTCATACCTCACACATATCTCACACACGAGTATATGCTCTGATTATATTCCTCACAGTCTTTTATACCACGCTTGGACTGTACGGAGCAACCCCCATCTCATTTACTCCTCCAGGTCAATCTTAACCGGTCCATGAAATACTGGTGGTTGGTTAGTACAAACATCATCAGCCGAAAAAACATTAAATTGATTCAGATTATATGAGAAGTGTATTAGACAAGGTGAAGGCAGAAGTGAACAGTACGAAAGGAAAAAAAGTCTGAGGGAATAAGTCTGATTACAGGGACCTCTCTAAGAAAATTAAAAAATGCAAGGGAGCAGATTCAAGCAAAACCAACGCATATATGGAAGTGACAAAATGGTGTTCAAAAGCCGACGAAGTCTGCAATGAAGGTAGATAGAACTTAAGAAAGTTTTCATTTCCAGATACTTGATTCGCAGATCCCCACACTTTCCTTAGTTGATTTCATATTTCACTTTATTCCCATTCAATCTCTAGCATCCAATTCTACTTAGAATTTGACAAAAGAAAAAAAAAAAAAAAAAAAAAAAAAAAAAAGAAATGGAAGAGGTCTCAAACCAAACTAAACATCCACATAAGTGTTAGCAAAAATTGGCAAGCCATAAAAAGAAAAGAAAAGAAAAGAAAAGGGGAAAGAAAGTAAAAAGAAACAACCAGGGGGAAAGTCAAAACGGTAAATAAAGAGTGATCAAAGCAAAACATGTACACCTCAAAATTCATAATTCCGTTCGTTCAATCGGTACGTCCCGTAGGAAATTGAAACTATTTCTTTGAAACCAAATTTCTCATACATCTTTCGAAATATAAAGCTTCCTCTTCAACCCCTCCTCATTCGGAGTTTCCATGCTCATACTTCCCTCCATGAATTGGATACAGGGACCCTCCCAACTTGCAACGAAGGTGGTGGACCTTCATCATCAGCGCTAGCACCATACTGCCCATGCTGCGCCCCGGGCAATATTTGGTCATAATCGCCTAGCGTGGATGAGAATGGGGGGGGAGGGGTGTTGGGCACTGAAGGTGAATATGCCCTATAACCTTGCTGTGGCGGTGGCGGTGGCGGCTGCTGTTGCTGCTGCAAGTTGTGTAATTGAGGTAGAGGTTGCTGTGGAGGAGGGTATGGCGAGTACGAGCATGCGGCTGTTGGAGAATGGGGGACTGGTGACGGCGGGTATCTGCGCGGGAAGTCGTATGTGTTTATGGATGGCCGGGAGGTGGCTGAGTGTGTTGTTATGGGGGCGTCGTTAGAGGGGGGGGTAAGTGGAGGTGGAAGAATGGGGGCTTAGGTTGGGGCTTGCGTTGCGATTTGGATAATGGGTTTGTTGTTGATTCGGATTTGGGAAGCTGGTTGCGATGCCTATGGCGTCCGCGGCGACGGGATCGCCTGGGGACGGGGTGCGTGCGATGTTTCCAGGGCGGTAGTTTGTGGGTTCTGGTGCGCGGTAGCCGTCAAAAGCGGGAGTGTAGGCAGGAGAGTTGGGGTTTGAATTATTGTTTCCCCGCATGGGGCGGCTGACATTTTGGCCTGTGACAGGGTCTAAGGTGTTCATTTCCAGATCATAGGGTTGAGAGGTATCTTCAACACGGCGGGTTGGAGCGGGTTCCCACATAGGCATTTCCGGGAGGGCATCGTCGTTAGTCTGTGTGCGTGGGTGGGTGGCGTCGAATTGCGCGTATTGCTTTGGAGATGGACGGTGGAAGCTATACACCGGGGGTGCGGGGGGATGTTGATAGCCCCCAGAGGGATATTGATTGTTGTAAGCTGTCTGTTCATTGCTATAGTGGTCGCGGGCCTTAGACTTGCTGCCAGAGGAGGGGCAGCAACAACTACAACAGGCGCAGCAACCCTTGCAGCATGTGTAGCCGCAGCAGACGCAGGCGAGTACGGCCCAGAGGACTGCAATGATAATGAGGCCACCAACGATTATGGCGACGATGGCAGGCCACCTGAATTGGCTGCATTAGTTCGGGAATTGAGAGAGAGGGGTAGAAGGTGACATACTTGCAATAGGCACTGGCCATGCATCTATCCCAGCTGGAGAAAGTTTGCCTGATACCTCTACGTTGGAGGATACCCTCTCTCCGGAACGGGGTGAACCCCAGTGGATCCATGACGGCAATGGCAGTGAACAATTGGAAGAAGTTAAAAGAGTGTGCCCGATATTATTATATATCAACTATGCCACTGATGCATATGTACAAGTATCATAGAGATATCGTACCGACAAACAGGAATGCCGACGTCAAAATGTAGATTCTTCAAGCCCAGTTATTTACTAAAGGCTACCGGAAACAATAGATCTTTGGATAGGGCTCGGGCGGTCGTCAGCAGCGACGGGCAGAATTAGCGTATCTTCAACTGGGAGACGGGAATAATTGAATTGAACTCGTATATCTGTTGTAAAATGAGTCTATCTATAGACTATAATACGGCATCGGGACAATATGGAATTGTATTGCAAAGTAATGTGGATGCAGGAAGTGTGATACATCCGTTTTTCTTTCGAATTGGGAGTGGAGATTGACTGGTTGCATGGAGGACGACCCTCGGATCCAGTAATCGTAACCGTCGTCGTAGTACGAAGGTGGTTATTGATGTATTAGGTGTAGAGAGCTGGAATGAAAGACGTAGGGTTTGATAAGAAAAATAGTCAAGAGACTGGGATAAAGCCCTATGTCAATAGGCTGAGATGTTTAGATGATGGTAGAGAACGCAAGTAAAGTGATTGGCAACGGCAGTTCGAGTCGCTAGCCGGATGGAGACCGCAGAATAAAACGAAACGAAGGAGAAACAATGACAATTACGAGGAACCAGAAGGAAAAAACGAAGATTGGGAGAAGATGAATAAAAACAAGGGGAAAGAAAGGATTTCTTGCGGAGGTTGCAGTTCGTGGTTGAATTGATCATCAATGTCTGCTTAATAACCGGCCCCTGATTGACAAAAAATCATCCCGCGGATGGAATCGACACCTCTTCAGTTCTTTCATTTCTTATTCCAGCTCGTCCGGGATGCAATCCGGGTAGTTATTTGCTAATAATTATTTCATTTGCATTTTACAGGTGGCTTTTTACTATCTGCAAATTTTTCGCACAACCCGGCTATTTCATGGCAAATATTTATATTTATTCCGCCTCTATTTCTCAATAGACCTGATTTGCAGCAGGAATTCTCGTTTCCCTGCAAAAGTTTTTTTTAGTTATAATTTACCCATTCAAGGTAAAATTCCGGGCAGTGCCAAGTTCCGCTCTTTTCACCCCACTCATTTCTAGGGGTTTTTCCAAGTAAGCCCATTCCGTTATGACAAGCAAGCTAATCCCCATTGCGATCGCCAAGCTGCAGCTGGCAGACATGCCTTTTAACTAACACTTGGTGCTATTACGCCAAATGTTCAGTTAAGACCCTCCCCCAACATGTGCCCCCCAACCTGATTCTCGGGGTAAGATCCTTCAATCGAACATCAATGCTGAGCTCTGTTTTTAAATCTTTCAGTCATGATCTCATCTTGGAACTACTCCGTATTTACCCATAGTCATATTCCTAAAATAATAACTTCCTAGCAGTTACTCATCAGAGCATTGTTTAACATCTGCAAAGTGCTAAAGTGAGCTACAAACACAAATACTGTACATGATATTATGATATTGACTCAAGTCTATCGGAGAAGCAAGTTCCATGTAGAATACATACAAAAGCAGGCTGCAAACCATGCTTTTTTGAATAAGATGGGAGGGAATGAATGGAAAATTGACAGAAGAAACTCCCCGAAAACATGACATAGCTATGAACATGTGCATGTCGATATCTTCAGTCCTTTCTCTGACCCTCCTCCCTCTTCTCACTCAAACAGGTAGAATAACCTTACCACGGTACAAACAAGCTCCCTTCAGTATTGTAGCACCAGACAGAGACTTTAAAAGTAGAGAACTTTGTTCGCTCATCAGCCACATAGAGCTCAGCTCAGGTTTCAAATCCACAATTTACCCTGAATCCATCCAGAAGCCGAGAATGATATCATGCAAATACAGAGATCAAATGCTGAAACTCACAACGCTTGTAATGCAATACGAAGAATGAGAAAAGAAAGGAAAAGAACAAAAAGGCTGACAGAAAAACCACATAAGCGATAAAAGTTATATAAAGGAGGGTATCATTTTCTCTGATGAGAGAGATAACGTCCACAATTCCAATCCCATGTCCATCCCACTATTGTTTCTTAGAGAAAAAGAAAGAAGAAGAAAGAAACTATTAATTAATTTTCAAGTTTTACTTATTCATCGTAGGAGGGCCAACTGGTGGTTGATAGACCTGTTCACCGGCTCGATAAACATTTTGCGGAGGCTGCAGCTCGACACCCTGTTCCTGTGGTGGATATTGCTGGCCGCCGAAAGAGGATGGTTTTTGCGCGTAGTAGTTCCCCTGGGTATACTGGGGTGGGGGAGCACTGGGATATTGATATTGGTTCTGTTGCCGACCCTGTTGCCAGAAGGGTGGCTGAGCAGCCCAGCCGGTCCCGTGGAAGGGTTGTTGGCCGCGACGACGTCGGCGGCGGGAGGAGATGCAGCTGTACAGACGTTAGGATTTCATGTTAGCTTTTCATATTCTTTCTTCCTTTCTTCCTTTCTTTCTCTTTTTCTTTTGAGATGTAATTGTTTCAAGTAGATGGGTTGTGGAGGGTAACGTACGCAAATGCAAGGAAGATGAAGAAGGTGGACATGATGATTATTACGAGAGCTACCCAGCGACCCCAGTAGCTCCATGGCGACCTGCAGAAGACACGGCCGGTTCCGAATTCAGTATAACAACTAATTTCAGGGGTTAGATTTCGCTGACTTAAAGATTGATGCGTTGGGGAGGATCTAATGGATTCATCAAATACTCACTAATTTCTACGAAGAATTGCCATCGCGGTGACAGTCAAGAGTTTCTTAAAAGGCCGTTAACGAAAAAGTACCGAGAGAGAGAAGAGTTGGTTCCGGTCGCAAGACGAGATATATAGAGGACTACGTGAAAGGCTTCTCTGGCCAGGCAGTGAAAAAGTTGACGCGAATATCAAGTGGTTGATGACGTTGGCACTGAAGAGGTAGGAGACGAGTGCAAAATCTCTCCCGGTAGCCGCACTACTGATGCGCTAAGAAATAGAACCAGGGAGGAAGGCGAGTAAAGAAAGCTGTGGTTGCAGATAGCGGAGTGTGGTAGGGGTGGTGGATATGGTGATGAGTTGGTTGGTGAGTTGGAATATATGAACTGGGACAGTTGATGAACTGCCGTGTAGGTTTCTACCCTACCTTTATTTAGCAGCCCGCAGAAGAACAGTGTGGCTGAGGGGCACGCGGAGCAACGTTTATCCGACATTAGCGCGGGGGCCAGCCAGTGCCCAGCCTCAACCGCGATAATAATGACGATCCAACAGATCACGGGGTCAGATTCGACAAGCAGAGTTTGAGCGCTGAGCCCTTTTGGACCCGCGGGGCAGGGTCTCATGGAACGCTAAGCCACATGACCCAACGTATTACGACTGGAAAGGGTAATCCAAAAGCCCAGTTGGGACAACCTCCCCGCAATTTACACGTTCATACTAAATATAACAACAACCAAGAATTATTTACAAATCAGCGGTCACATGTTGAAAGCAGAATGGGTCAATGATACATCACACAACATATATCATTGCCAGGGTGCTGCTCATTTTTATGATTGAAAGTTAAAGATCTCAATCACCTCTTTATTCTATTTATTAATATCTTAATCTATTGCTTCATCAATTTTAAAATCATCTTCTTGATATATAAATATTGTATATGATTTTTTTTTCTTTCTTAACTGCTTTTCATTTGCAGTTTTCATTTTCTTATTCACTTCTTTAAAAAAGTTATTTTATATATTATAATCTAATAACTTCTAATCAACTGATTTAAAATTATTTTATTAAATTGAAAAAGCTTTATAATTTTTAATAAATTTTTTATTATTTTAATTTGAGATTATTATTAAATATTATTATTAAATATAATTAAAATTTAAAAATTATAAAAATATTTAAATAATAATAAATATATATATTTTAATATTATTTTATTTAAATATTTTATAAAAAAATAAATTTTATATAAAATATTATTAAAAAATTAAAATAATATTTATATATAAAAAAATTTAAATAAAAATTTAAAATATAATTTTAAATAAAATATAAATTAAATTAAATTTAATTATTATATATATAAAATTTATTTATTTTAATTTATTAATTATAATTATAATAAACTAGTTACTGAGAATAATTAATAATTAATATATATAAAAATAAAAAAATTATTAAGAAAAAAATATATTATATAGAAAATTAAACTTTTATTATATAAAATAAAACTTTAATAAAGATAATTAAATTAATATCTTTATAATAAAAATTATTTTTCTTATTTATAAATTTTTATCTAATTAGTATAATTTTAATTAGTATATAAAATTTTATATAATTTTATATAAATAATAATTAATTATTTAAATATATTAATTTATAATTTCTTATTAAACTAATAAATATATATAAAATTTAATATATTTTGAAGTTATTAGTTTATTATATTTTTTAGTTTTTTTTTATTATAAAATTTATTTATTAATATAAAATATATTAAAAAAATTTTAAATTTATTAATAATATTTTATATAAAAGTTAAATTTTATAAGTTAATCAATTAATTAATTAATTTTTTAAATTATATAAAAATATTTAAAAAATAATAGTAAGTAATTAAAAATATTATTATAGAAATTTTATTTTTAAAGTTAATAAAATTTTATTTAATATAATTTTTTCTATAAAGTTTATTTCTATTTTTCTATTAATATTGATATTAATAATCTTTATATTTTATTTATTTTACTTTTTCTGAGAAAAGTTTTTAAAATATTAGTAATTTTACTAAGCTAGCTAATTCATATTTTGATCAGATTCTTTTTCAATTACTTTATTTAAATCTAACTCACTACTTTTACCACGCGTTTTCTCAACTATATTATTAAAATGAAATCTAATAATAAAGCTGCTATAACTGCTGCTATAAAGAATTTAAAAAATAATATTTTTTAATTTGAATAAGCTAATACTAAAGTATATAATATTTAATAAAGCATATTAAAAAGTAAAAAAAATGATTTCATTCAACAAACAATTGCTCATCAACATTAATAAAAGTTGATTTCAAATAAAAGATCTTTCTAGTTCAATGAATAAAAGAGCAAGATTTGCAATAATTTCTATTTTCTTATATATATATACAAAAAATAATGACTTAAATTCTATAAATGAATTGAGATCCCATTCAGCTGAGTAAGAATTAAATAAGAAAGTTTTTAAAATAAAATTCTATGATAAGATTTATGATTAACTGAAAGATAAAGTCTCAAAGAATGAAGAATACTTAGCAAAAAATATTTCAGCAGTTCTATAACTATTTTTTTGATATATACAGACTCATAAGATAGTTACTAAAAATATATAAAATATAAATGAGCATGATATTGCTTTAGAAGTATATATAAATATCAAAGTGCTTGCTGAGTAAAAGAAAGATAAAATCTATATTAAATCTCTCTTTAATTGTGAGTGAGTTTCAATTCTTGAAGCTATTAGTGCTAATAAGTACTATATAGACTCTCTAGTCATTTTTTTAAGTCAAAATATACAATATAGTTAATTTAAAGATGTGAATATACTCAATTAGATCTATACAATATCAGTTAATAAATAGATATCAAATTATATATATCTCAACTAATTATATATGATTTTTCTATTATAAATATTTAAGGAAGATCAGCATAAATTATTAGTGCTGAATGATCATAGCAGTCACATCACTATTGAATTTCTATGAGAATGTCATATAATTTTAATTCATTTAGTGTTTCTACTTGTTTATACATCTTATGTTCTTTAGTCATTGAATCTTGGAGTTTTTTCACCCATGAAGAGCTACTATAGAGCTGAGATTATTGTTTTAAACTATCTGGATAATGCAGCTCCTGTGAATAAAAGAAGATTCATACAAGCATATGAACAAGCACATTCAAAGGCCTTAAAATCTTATAATATACATGGAGGGTGGAGAGCAGCTGGTCTAGTGCCATTTAATCCTTTTAAGGGATTAGATTATAAGAGGCTGAACCCCTAGATTCACTCTGGCTGGCTGACTCAGCCTAGCCATTGTTTGCATGTGCGCACATGATCATGCTACGCGAGCTTGCTTAAGCTCGTGTTCTCGTCTCATTCTTTTCTTCCCTTTCCCAAGCAATTCATCCTTATTATATAGGAGGACTAGCCTCTAGTTCTTAGAGCTTAACCCTCTACATAGATTCTTCTCAAGTTTGAGATCAGGGTCAATCTAACCCTAGGCTGGTGACACCTACAACCTCTTTATCTTCTGAACTGCAAGATCTTTTGCTTACAACCCCCTGAGATCCTAGACATATATATAAGGCTCTGCAGCAGTTGAATAAGTAGAGAATTCTTACAAGAAAGCAGTGAGTTTTTCTTTGCAAAGCTAGCAAGGTGATTGGTGAGTTGAATGCTCTACAAGCTACTAGTCAGTCTACAATTTTTAAACTCTCTAATCAACTAGAGATTCTACAGCAGTCAAAAACCAAAAAGAAGGTGAAAGTTGATCCAAATACCCAGTTTATCAATATAGAAAGGATTAAGAAGGCTCAAGAGGAAGCTGCTGCTCTAGAGGCCAGGAAACAACTACAGGAGCCAGAAATTGAGGCTAAAAAAGCAGCAGCAGCAGCAGCTTTAGCAGCAGGTCTGGAAGCCTGCATGTTTGAATGGCAATTAGATTGAATTTGTAGTTAAATATTTACTCAAATAGGAAGAGGGGTTGCTTTGGATAGAGGGGTCGAAAAAGGATCTGGTCGAAATATAGACCGGCTAGCTTAATCTCTATGTAAAATTAAAAAAGAGATAATAAAGACACTGATGTGACGGCGTATGGCTACTGGCTACGAAGGGTAATAGCAACGGCCTAAGAAAGCTGCCCGCCCTGCAAGCAACTACCCTGTGCACAAATACCCCACAGAAACTGTCTGGCAACGGCATAACAACCGCTAGTGGAGAGGCCCCCTCTTTCGTAAATCACCTTAGTATTCGTTGAAATAGCGTATCTAGCTGACAACCAAACATCTGTTTATCTGCGCCTAGATTGATGTCAAAACACTCTGGATCCCTCTGAATTCCTTTCAAAAGATTCAGTGGTTAGCTTCGCTTCAATTCTACACCTACGTTTCACCTATCACTATTCTCTTCACTTCTCAGCGCTCTAAGCGCCTATCCTCCTACTCTCTTATGACATTAGTTATAGTGCTTCTCACGCTTCCTTTTGACACTTGTTCATTCAAATTATGAAATTAAGCAATCATCAAACTAGAATTTCTCATATAATTTATATAGATCTATTTCTTAGGTCTATTGACAGGTTCTAGCAGTATGATCAACTATATTACTTTTGCTGTAGTGTGGTGGAGCTCACTTTCTCGACAACTGATTCAAATTCTCTACCCAGCTGTTAAAGCTCCATTCTGAGCTATAAATATATGAGCTTGCTTCTTCTTATGCTTTTCTTCTCAACTGCAGCTCTTAGCTTCTTATTTTTCTTTGCTAATATAGCAGCACTATGCATGACCAGCTGATATCTCTTAAACAACTGATTAAAGACTTGATTTCCTGGCTGCAAAAGCACTGGCCTGCCATGTTTCTCAGACTTAGTCACCATCTTGACTGTTGATATAACTCTCATTTGAAAGTCAGCTTTATCAAAGTTGTAGATATTCTCATTCATAATATCATATCTTTATATTTTATTCTTCACCCGTTGAAACCACTCTTGCATGATCTTAGGATCT